AAAAGGTGTTCCTATCGGAACCCTAGATATTAATGACTTATCTCAAATTTGTTTCAATTTATCTTTGTCGCCATTCCAAACCTCATCACTCAGCTGAACTTCTCTCGTAGCTAGTGTATATTATATCTTCTTTAGTTGCTGTTTGATTAAGCTAATAAATCTCTCATATATCGCATGCCACAATTCAGTAATTAAGTGTTTATATCAATAGTTTTTTCCATAGCAAGTAGTGGATCGAATTGGAAAATCTCGTTTTTTTAGAATTAAGCTAAAAATTAAACTATTATTCATTTAATGTGCTAAATATATTAGCGAAATTTGATAAGAACGTAAGTCAGCTGAATTTTAGACGGAAGTACTAGAATTTTTAGTTAGCAAAACGACCTTTGAAAAAAAAAAAATAATGAAGTCTCTGAAGAAACAGATAAAACCGCATTAGCATTCAAAAATTGTGTTGTTGCAGCCTTCTGATCACTTCTGATTGATGTTTGATTGATGGCAGGTGAAATTTTATATATATATATATGTTTAGATTTATATATTTATATATTATATAATATATAGTTTACAGTTATTCGACTGCCGAAATTGACATGTTTTAGCCGCCTAAAGAGCCATCAAAAGAGTTAAAAACAACAAAAATAATTTTAGGAAACATGTTTTGTGTTTTTTCTCTAAAACATCAACTAAGTTTCGTATTAGGAATTTAGTATATGTCTAGCTATGTATGATGTTATGTGGCCCGAGGCCTGGAAACGAGTTTTCTCTTGTGATATCATTGATAAGATATCGTGTGCCAATAGCTTGGCTGTCATTTTGACAGTTCTGTCATTTGTTTAAGCATTATTTTAATTTTAATTGGACACGCATTTTAGTTAAGAGATGAAAGAAGTAGGGGAGGGTTCGGGGTAGCTAGTGAGGTCTATTAAAATTTCCCAACAACAGCTGTTGTCATTGTTTTACCTTTTGTAATGAGCACACGTCATAGGCTTTAGTTAGATTTTAATTTTTTCTGGTTTTGAGTCTTGTCAAAATTGACTAATGCCTTTTTAATGAACTACAAGAAGTCTCTTATGACATCATTTGATGGGCTGTTCTGATTTCAATTATAAACGACTCCGGAATTCATTTCATTTTTGTCAGATCTGAAGCGATAATGAAACCAATTCGCCTTTCACAAAAGCTGAACAATTTTAGCAGAATCCTTCGTTTGTCATTTAAGGTTTGCCTCCTGATAATCAATGTTTGCTTATGCTCTTTGGGTATTTTAATTTTAGCACAAGGTGTGTAACGCAGCGGAGTTTTGATTAAGTAAGCATCAAGAACTAAGCTGATATAGATATGACTCTTAACTTTGTATTGACTCGGAATGCCACTTGGTTGAATAGTGGAGTAGTCTTGCTACTACAATGAGTTATTCTCAAATCAATCTAAATTTATAAGCTATACCTAGTATAAAACAAGTCTCGTACCATCCATGACGGCATTTCTCTGTAAGGGTCTTTAATCCTCGACTTGCTCATCTTCCTTCATTTCTTCTCTTATATGAAATGCAATGAGAGGGAAATGACCCGCACGACTTGCTACAGGCCAAGAACCTTAAGCGGCATTTCATAGTTGATTTATTTTTCACAGGCTGCAATGTTGCTGGAGCTCTGGCTGTGGCCCCAAGGTCAGGCGTGCGGCGACGACCCCTCAAGTTCAGCCTGGCCACGTAGTCAAAAAGTCATTCAACTGTTGTCCGGGTATTCAACGATAAACTTACATAAGCATCCGTCCCGTTGCGAGCGTTGCATGCAACGAAAATGTGTTTTGGGCCAGCTGCCTGGATGTAGCCGCTTGCATCAAGGTCGGCTTGTGCAACAGCAGCAGAAAGGCGGACAGGAAACTGAATCATGGTGAATCATGCTCAGAAATTGAGTGAGTGAGACTATGTAAGGCAGGTCACCTTAAATATTTAATTGATGGCCTCACAAAATTGCGGGTATTTGGTAAAAGGCTTGAAGTCATTCGTACGCTTGAGTCAGCTTCTCGAGTGTGGGGCAGGCATTGACATTTGATATTTTTGCGGCGAATAAACTGTTCCGACTCGTCAAGGGGATTGCAATTTACAGGCTTTCTAAATTTGGCCAGTTGGCAAAAATGTTGGCCAATTGCCGAACGATTAAAGACATCAATTGCGATTCACTAAACCTGTCGACCAGCCGTCTCGTCGAGGAGCACGCATAAAATATTTCAAACTATTGAGTATTTAAAAGATACAAACTAAAGATACATATTTGTCAGACTTATTTCGAATGTTGTTGGCTATTGCATAAATTAAAAAATATTTAACTTGTTTTTCGGCTTTAATTTGCTAGTTTTTGTTCTCATCAAAGGTCGTTTCCAAGTTTTTGCTTTTAAAACAAGAGCCAAACGCGTGGGCACCTAAAATATATATGTATATGTATGTTATATTGGAAATAAATATATTTTGCCAAATTTTTGTTAAATTATAGATATGAGAGAATTTTAAAATTTTATTTGCTGACATTTCTGAGCGTCAAAAATTACATTTAAATGAGGTTTACCAAAAATTATGCTTCATAAATTTTACTCATATATTTCTCTCAATGAAATGCTGTCAAAAATGCATTTACATATGTAAATGCAAGCATATAAATATTAAAAAAAAAATACAAAATAAAACAAAGTGTTTCCATTAAATTCGCGTAAAACTCAATTTTTCAGCTTTGCTTTCAATATTTTTAAGGCACAGCTTGAAATGCTTGAATGGGCTCGATATATTAATATATGTGGGGCCATGCTTTATAAACAATAAGATATTTATTTTTAAACTTAAAGTAGGTGGATATATTGTAGATAAAAATATGAATGGCAAAATATAATAAGTGGTTCAGACGTTAAAGGTGTGTAGGTCCAAAAAGGATTTTAATTTTAAAAAATGTTAGAAATTTTTTTAGCTTTAGAGGCTTAACTTAACTTAAATTAAATTTTCAATTGATAATTATTTTATTTATTTTAATATTATATTTAGTGATATTGATAGATAAACAGGTAGATGCTAAAAGATATTACTCCAGTAATAACATTTTTGCAATCGAATGCAGCCGACTAGTTAATGCTTCACTTTATCAAAGGCTGAAACAAAATATGATATATAATAATTTTATTCAATTTGGCTCGCCTAAGAATGCATCACTTCAGCCACATTCCACAAAGCTGATATACCCCTTCTTTCTTAGTGAACGAGTATGTCTTCAAGCCCTGTGCAGACTGCTGGATCACAATGTGCTACATGCTGTGCATCGATTTGTGTTGTTTCTTCTCGTCGTCTTCTCATTTATTGTTCACACACACATACACACACAGCTATAGATTTTATATAAATATTTTGTCTGCTGGTTGGGTTTGCCTTGACTTAAGCATTGTCGTTAACTTAACTTCATCCTGTTTACGACAGCAGCTGCTTATATAATCTGTGTCAATTGCACTTTTCAAGAGCAACAGCTGCGTTTAGTTCTCTTGAAATTAGCTATTTATTTCCTTTTAGCGAAAACATTGCGTATACGCAACACGTTCACGTAGGCTTAGTGTCAGCCGTAGATCAGCAACTTCTCACGACATTCCAAATTCTTAAGCGGCTTATCAAACGGAAGCATGTCGACCATCAAGCCACTACCAGTTGAGGTGTCTCAATTAAGCCAAATGGATTAAGATTTGGCTAATCAATTTCCCATATATGATCTCAGCGCTTGGCTACCGTCTGAGTTCATTTAATCAAATTAAAAACGATGCGTACCAAAGAAAATATTCTGAAATTCAGCTAGTAATTTATTTTAATTATGGCGCACAGCTCAGAAACAATTAATACACACGGAAATCAAATATCGCATTTGCCAAAAATAGAAGGAAAAAAGCGGCGCTATTATGTAAGCATTAATTTAATCAATAAAACGAACTAACTATTTTTAAGATGTTGCACACATTTGATTTGATATTCAAATAGTCTCGCAGAGCCTGGTCGATAACCGGCTGGAAGCGAAGAAAAAAAAGACAACAACAACGGTCTTATATGGCTACTATCTATGGCCAATAGATCAGTTTTCGATTAATGCTAAAAATTAAGTCAAAACAAACAGGAAAAACTCGAATTTTCAATTAAAGACAAAGACTTTAAAATAAAATAAATATAAATTCTTTTGCGCAAAAAATAAAGAGGAGAAAAAGAAACACAATAAATCTTGAAAAATCTCAATATTCCTAATGAAGAATAAAAACCTGAAAGTGAAGCTGAATTCTTGAAACACGCAAGTCGTGGCGTCTAAGTAGGGGTAGTCCGTATCAGTCTCCACCAGAGAGATATAGAGAGACGGAGAGTAGCAAAATTTGTTGAGCATACGAACCGCAGCTCAGCTGCAACTAAGCTAAGCTCATCATCTCTTACTCTTGCCCATATAAATTAACAAAAATTCGTCGAAACAAAACTTGTTTCGAGCTACGCAAATCACAGAGACACACACACACTGAGACACGCACTTTGGCAAGTCGCTGACAATTCAACTGTCACTGGAGCTGCTCCCCAACTCTCATTTGTATTGGTGGATAGCTGCTCTCAGATGGGGTTTTCGTCTTTTTCTTTCTGATCTGCGTATGTGTGAGTGTTTTTTTTTTTTATTTTATTTTCAGCTGCGTTGTTTATATGGCAAAGACGCGCTGCGTTCATCTTCAGTTCGTCCACATCGGTCACCACGGTATGAGCTCTAGTTAGGCTCCCTTCCCCCCAAGTAAATACAGCATACAGTGTTTGATCTACGCCTAACTCAGTGCAAGCCCAAACCGCAAAATTCAATCAAGAACTAAATAAACTGTATTGATCCGCAAGGACAACAATAAAAGCAAAATTCTCTATTCGTGTTCCAACAACCAATGTGTGCAAATAATAATCCAAATATATATATTAAAAACTTTTTCTTAATTTTCTTTACATATCCCAAGATTGGAATTTGGATAATTGCAAAAATTTGTTAAAATAGCAAATAAATAAAATAATTACTGGCGTTTCTTGTGTCAATTTAAATTACGTTCGTTGCAAAATGGCGCGTGCAGCTTTGTGCATGGTGAGTTAAGATTAAAGACAGAAACAAAAACATTTAATTCTAAGTCTGTATTAGAACTTAAGCTAAGGAATCTCCATCTCTATCAGAAAACCATAATCTTTAATAGCATCGATAAGTATCGATTGCTCAGCCATCAGATGAAGTAATTATTATTATCATGCTATTACGGTCGTAATACGATAATCAAAAACATCAGCTGCCGTCTTGAGTCATGGCCACAATTTGAATTCCCCGCCTGTACGCAGTAACACTTAGCGCTTAGCTAACAAATCGTAAGGAAAACAAAATAAGTAGATGTCGAAAAGAAATACCGGTAGATGAGAAATGCAAATAAACAATTGAAATATGAGTTCAGGGCGTATTTACCAAGAAATGCATGAAAGCCAAGGTTGAAGTCTGTACAAATCCGAATATTTCATTGCGAATCTTTATGCGCAGCCTCCGTTGTTAGGCCAGCTTGTCTTCTTCTATTTGTCGGTCAAGTCCGGGTCAAGTTGTAACTATTTAGTTTTTTATTTATGAATAGTAAGTATTCCAGGTGTTAACTAAACTCAACACTGTATGCGTTAATAACCGGCATTTTTAAGCCTAGTGCAAACAAAATGCGAACGAACCGGCAATCGGTGGCTATTTTGCGACTTGTTTGCTTCAGAGTCTCGCCTAGTTTTTCGAATATACATATAAACAAGCATACAAGCGGGGGTATTTAGTATAATTTTGTCAGCTACTAAGTATTAATTATTCAGTTATTTCAATTTTTACTGTTCCTTTTTTAATGCTTTGCGTCAGCTGACAAAAATGCGAACTGACTGCAAAAAAGGGGGGAAAAATACAAATCGCAGCGAAATTTATTTGTATATTGAACAAAAGCGCATTAAATGTTTTTTTTTTAAGACATTAAATTAGTTAAAATTGTTGTATTTATTTGGTATTTGTTTAAAATTGAATTATTTACGTGTTCTCTTTGTTATTGATTTTTATGCAAATAAGCAAATTGTATTGTTGAAGGTTCACAAGGTTGCATTTTGTCTATATATATGAGTTGATTGTCCTGATTGAGTAGCTGCTTGACTGATTCATTGCTGCTCGAGCGGCTAAGAGTAGATAACATCTTCAAGGAATCTTTCTTAATGAGCCACTCCTAGCTTGGGGAATCATATAATTGAAGATCTATCTGCAGAGCAAAAGAACAGTTTTTCGTTAGCAAAAGTAGTGGATTCTAGCTCTAAGCTTATAAAAGATATCGTATGTCCATATGCCACTCCCCACATAATAAAAGAGTAGTAATAAGAATAAATGTTCTGGCTGTAAAACTATAAAAACTACACGCCCCTAATAGGCGTATCTATATTAAATTAACAGTTGTATGAGGCGTGGCTATATACGGAAACATATTCCGAACTCCAAGCCTCTAGCAACAATAGCAACTGGATGGCTGACATATATATGTGCTTGGCCTTTGGGCCAAGTTTAAGGGGCTCAAATTCCGCAACAATGTTCAATAATTCCAGTGAACCCAATTTTTTAAAGTATTAGTTTAAATTCTTAACACAACACGATTATTTCAAGGACACTACGCTGCTTCATTAGAAACTGTGCTAAAATTCTGAACTTAACTTATTTCACCAGCGCATGCTAATTGAAATAATTGCAAGCAAAGAATTTGGCTTGGAGCATCGCTCGGCTTGAATTAATGAAGGCAAGTCGATGCGTGACACGAACAGAGCACGATTGAGCACGCACTGTCCGGGCACGCTGCGGGCAATTCAAAAGCATCGCAGTATCTAATACGGCACAGGCAAACAATTTATGACAGGTAGCCAGCATAATACCTGCAAAAAGGTGTGATAATGACACTTTGAAGGTGCCTGTGATACACCTTTTGCCTAGACGTGCAGGTGACAAATATTTTGGGTTCATATCTGTTTTTTTGTGTTTCTCACCTGACAAGTGGCAACAGCTTGAGGTGCACGTGCCACAGTTTCTTGACCCGCCGCTCTGTCTCTGTGGGGTTACACCTACAAAATTTATTTTTATCAAGATTTCTCTGTTCGTCATCAACGAGCTGCTAAACCAATTGCTGTGGGCTCTCTGGGCGCACTTTAGCCAAGTGCTGGCAGACACGTACGCGGCCAATTTGCTTCTGCTATGGTCGCGGCACTAACTTGACCCAAATGCTGCCAGACTTATACACTCTCCGCCAATATAGTAATTACTTAGCCAAAAAGTTTGGTGTTTGCTCAAGACAGTTGATTATGCTGTAGGAAGTTTGTAATTTAATGCAGATTGCATGATTATCTACTTAATGTGTTTTCTAAGAGCATCTGTGCTTCGTTGTTGCCCTTCCACTTTTTCTCACTTTTATTTCCTCTGACCGAGGTTGACGCTGGAATTTTAAGAAGTTGAGCATTTCTTTTGTGTGCTGCACTTAAAGATTTCGCATTTAGATAATTGTCGGCTTGTATAGCATCATTCCTGCACTGATTTTGCAGCAAATGGGTATCTATATCTCTGTCTGTGGCTAAGTCTGGAATTCCGTGTGACACACAAATGTCGACGGCCTAGCCAACTGTTTAGCATGCCAAATAGCCAGCTGGGCGGGAACTAGTTTTATGGGCTCTATTTGGGTCCACAAACCAAGTGCCAAACTGTTGATTGCTTTTTACAGTTGTTCACAGAGTTGTAAAGTGTCTCATATAACTATATATATGTGTAGCTGGTTTTCAAGTATATTTTCTTAGCTCTTTAGTTCCTTAACGTTTAACTGCGCGCTCGTTGAACTCTGTTCGTGACATAAGAATACATTTCGCTTTCAACCATTCGATGACCTCATAGGTATTTGCTAGCTCTTAGTATCAATAGATTCTTAATTCACATTCACTTTTTATGGCCCCACATTTCTTTGCATGAACTTGGTTGCTTTAAGCTGATCAAGAGCCGAAGTTTTGTATAAAAGGCAAGTTTTATATCTAATATTTGTCCATAATATAAAATCGAGAAATGCAAATTAGATAATTTGATCTTCGTCAGCGATTTAAAAACTACAAAACCAAAATTAAAAAAGCAAAGCTAAGCAAAACAAAATGCAAATATTCAAAGCAAAAGCGAAGAACGAAGTTTCGCAACTTTTGAGCTTTTCTCGTTTGAATAAAAACGAAAACGTTATGCGTCAAATACATTTGATAAATGTAAGTGGAGATGTTGTCTTGGAAATGTCAAAAGTCGCCAAAAAGAAAGTAAAAGGCTTTTGCCCAATACAATCCATATCATTTTATTAGTATATATATATTTATATATTTAATACCTGTATTTGCGTAGGTCTTAAAATAAATTGTTGGCAAACAAATGATGTCAGCTGGTTTGGCTTGTTTTAATTAGTTGTCTGAATAGCATTTGTTTAAAATGCAACAATTAATTAACTCTCTTCGGATGCTAGATACATCTGCACTTGTCGCTCCATTTGGCAGTAGATGATATCAATGAACTTATTAGCGCTATTCTTTGGTATCCAAATCTGTATTTGACAAACAAATTCTGCGCTAATTAAATCAGTGTCTGGATCAAATGGAAAAACCCAAAAAGGCCATCGTCCAGAGCGGGTAAGACTCGTTTGGTTATTCTTATTGAATTACTATGTCAGGGCAGAGCTTCTACACATTTGTTTGACTTGTTGCTGGGTTGCTTCAATTTTGGTAACTCTAAATGGTACTGGGCACACGCACAGATATATATATATATATATATGGATATACATATATATATATTGATGCATAAATCTTAAGCTTAATTCAGGGACTTTTACATTTCACAATATATTTATATTAAAATTTCAAAATTTCATCATAAGCGCAATCAAAATTTATGAACTGCAGCTGAACAATTTCAATAAAATGCATTCGCTGTGTTGTCTTTGTTGTGTTGTGTGTTGTATGTTGTCATCGATTAAGGCCAGACACAGCCCAAAGCAGTTGCATCTTATGATAAAAGCTGAAAAGCATTATATATATTTCGCTTGGCACTTATTGTCGTTGGCTTTTGCGCGCAGTTTTGTTCAGCACCAGTTACCAGATGCGATGCCAATTGACCTTGAAGTGTAAGTCCATAAGATGCACAAAAAAAACTATCTTGTATATATAAATTGGTATATATGTATATGAAAAGATTTCGTTGACGTTAAAAGGGCAAACAGCAGAGCAGCGCTAAGATGCTGCCAGATTGAAAGCGAAACCTGTTTGACTATAACGGGCCACAATGATTGGGGATAGTGTGGAAGATGGTCATAATTATGCTAATCATGATGATGCTGATGATGCTGATGTCGATGTTGCTGAAGTTGCTGATGATGTTCGTGTTGTAGCTCGGCATGTTAACAAACTATGCGTGCGAACAACTCGATTAATATATTGTCTATATGGCGGCTGCCTCTGTTGGACCGCCCAGCTGTCTCTCTCTACACATAAAGCCACTGACAACTTATGCAAAACTATGCAAGATTCATGGCACATTGTATTGGCTTTTGAGACCGCGCCAGAGCGAGGCAAGGCTGGCAGAACTTTTGGGTCATAGCCATACGTTCATAACGCTTGACGTTGTGGATTGGCTTGAATGATATACGAGCAGCAGAACTTGTTGATGTTGCACGCACTGCAACAAAATGCACTTTTAAATGCCGCCAATTCGCGCCTTACAGAGTCTTGCCTCCTCGTCTTTTTGCCACTGCCAACTGGCCCACATGCCAGGCGCAGTCAACTAAATTGTTTTTAGAATTGAATTTACTTGAAGTGCGATTTGACGGCTTGCGTCATGCATGAATTCGATGTGAGCCAGTTCGAAATTTGGGGCATGCCACATGTGCTGAGCTGAGCTGCCTGAAAAACCACAATCACTAATTATGCATAACAAATGAATGTGATTCAATCCTACCACTGACATGGCTCAAAGCTTACATAATTGGCCACGTGGGTGGTCAACTATGTGGGCGTGGCCAGCCAATTAATTGAGATATTTATTGGTTAAAGTTAATTGAGGTTTTGCCTTAATATCCCGCAGCTTCAATTCATTTTCAGAGCGATGCAATTTCTGATCAACTTTGTAATTAATACGATTGGCAAACATTTTCCCTTCCAAAATACTTTAAAAGGCGCAAACAAAAACCACTTTCAAATTGGCCAAATTTCAGAGCCACTTTCATTATTTAGTTACATCAATCAACTTCTGCTCATAACTTCCAACTTTTTAGTTTATTTATGGGAAGTTGTCTAATTTATTTATTTATAACTTGCGTCCGCAGATCCTGCAGATACATTATATATTTGACGAGCATTATTATTATGCCCTCGTTTCACATATTTTTATGCTGTGCTGCCAAACTTTGGGGCTAGCACACATTAATAATTTCAGTTGGTTTGAAGGTCATTTCTGTAAATGATTCATGTGTGTGCAATAAGAAGAAGCAGAGCAACATTTGTTGCTGCTGCCACAGCAAACAAATTGTGGGCAAAAAGTAAAAACAAAAACCGTTAAAGTTGCCGCAGTTGATATGTGGGTGACACGTCGACCTCCCGTGTCAGCATCTGCAATACATGAATAAAAAATAATTTGAAAAAAAAAAACAAATAAGCATACAATGGATGAAAAATGATTTTAGCTTGATTATATACACAATCTATTGATTTGTGGCGATTTTGGAGCAGGCGAACAGGTAGCCAACACCTTGATGCCATCAGCATCAATTTCATGAATTATGAATTGATTATAGAAGAATTTTTGCAACAGTCGACTAGCTTAGGCTCATGTATAGCTTAGCCGTTTGATTTCTAGCCTCATCGGCCATTAAGATAAAAATTTGCATTAATGATATGCCAATGCAGACGTCTTTGAGGGCCGCCAGAGCTACCGAACAAAGTGCTCAAGTCTTTAGCCTCCTTCGAATGGTTTCGTTTGTTTAGCATTTTGTTGATTCGGGCTTGTTGATATTGATATATATGATATAATCGATTGGCTATATATTTAAAAGTGATTGACCTTATCGCATTTCAAATTTGATTACCTCTTTGGCTCGTTGGCATCAATTTGCTTATGCATAGGGTCTTAAGGCTGGAAATTAAGCGCCATTGAGCATTATTAATGGGCCACAATTTATACATAAATAATTTAAAATATATTAGTTACACTTTACTAGCAATTGGCGTTGCATCTGGCAAGGCGTTACCAAAATGTTGTTTCTTTTTATATTTTTTTCTGTATTAGCCTTAACCCTAACGCGCCCAGGTTTATGCGACGCGCCCAAATACTGTCGAATGAAAGAAACCAATTTCAGTTAAAGACAATGGAAAATAGTAAAAAAAAATATAAATAAATAAATTACCCAATAAATTCATCATGAAAATAAAAAAATAAGAAATATAAAATACAAAACTAAATAGCAAATTGTAAAAACTAATAAATTATATAGCTTAGTTTGAGGGTCACTGCCAAATTGTTTATAACTATGAGCTAGCCTCGAAAGTGTTGTCCCCATCGAGAGAGACATATATTTGAGAATTATTGCTTAACGCATTCTACTATATTAGTAGATAGTAGATTGGCTCGATACTTAAATAGCATGGAACTGGTTTCTTTGTAAGGAAGTTTTTATTTGAGCATTGCCGGAACTGTAGATAAGTTATATGCTGCGTGTTTATAAATATGTAAATTCCGCTGTATTAATAAAGATACTGAGATAAGATGTTCAATTCGGGTTTTTGGGTAAAGTCTGGCCAACTCTGGCCAGACAGTAGCCTCTCTCGCTCTCTGATATTTAGCTAATAGAAATTAAAAGCAATTCACTTTGTATTTATTTGGCTGTCATACGAACTAAGCTAATTGACCATTGCTGTCAGTGTAGCCATTAAACTCAACTGGTTTCTGTTGGCGCTGACATTTCTCATCGAGTACGCATAGCTTACGGATGCGCAAATAGCCAATAGAGATACAAATGTATCTACGTGCTTTGTGTGCAGCGTAAAGCAATTTGCTGCGACAAATGCGCACGAAATTGACTTGGAAGGTGCAGCTAAATAAAAGTAAACCGCAAATCCAGTTCGACAAACAGATTGTCATCAACTTCTGACGCCTGACAGACTCGAAAAAAACTCGACTGAAAACAAGAATTTTGACAGCGATTTAAATACTCATGCCAATATATATATAGATATATATGTATGTATATGCCTTTGACATTTTACCTGCCTATATGACATTATTTTGGTTGCTTTAATTTTGCAAACTAAACGTATCGAACCGGATCTTAAAGGTGTCTGATTTGCATACAAACATACAAATACAGACGACAGCAAGACTCAATACCTCAGACTGGCTGCCTTGAATGAGGCATCAGCTATTTATTGACTCATCTCGCTCGCTGCCTCTGGTCTATGTAAATTAAGTCAATATCCAAAATAAGAAACGAAGACAAGTCTCTATGCTAAAAGCAAAAGTTGTGGGCGCGTCTCGAATGAGTTTGTAATGACAATAAGGCGTCAACATTTATCTTACTAAACCATTTGACAGCTGCTCACCTGGGGTTTCTTTTCCTTTCTCATCTCTAAGACATATATCTCTCAAATAGTTATATAACATCTGTTTTTTTTTTTTATTTTTGTTGACAGGTCGTCGCTTGCATTTTGTTGCAATGCGTTTACTCTGCCAAGTTCGATGCAGAGAATCGACGATTGATCGTCGATATCAATGATCAAAAGACAACGAATCAACAATATTACTCCTCTAACTTTGACACAAGTAAGTAATCACGTTTTACAATTTGTATCACACATCCACGCTTAATCACATTGAGAAACCTAATTCAATCTGAAACTATAAACCAAAATTTTCTTTCCCACACATCGAAATTGTAATATATTAGTTTGAACAATTTGTATCATCGTATCGTATCTATATATATACTCGAATATATATATATATATATATATCCTATATCATAACGACTAAATCTATTTGCCAAATTCCATTCCATGCAGTTTCTTAGTTTTTTGTGTACATCGTTTCGCCCTGTAACTCGTTAATCGTATTTACCAAGTAGCTCAATTTGTATTTGTAATTTGTTTGTTTGACTAAGTAGTTGCCCAAAAACGTATTATTACTATTATTATCGTATTTTTTTTGTATTATTGAGTAACTTTAAGTAATCGTTTTGTTGCCCCGTCCCCCACCCAACCAACAACTCCGGCAGTTTGATCAAAACTTACACATTAATACCTCGAAATAAAACAAAACAAACAAAATGAAAAAAAAAAACCAAACGAAACAACAACAACAAACAATCAACAACAACAAAGAAACCGCTATCTATGTAGTTGTTTTTTTCCTCTTTCTCTTAATTTATATTTTTTACCCTTGTAGCTCAGCTTTACTAAACTCACCGTAGAAATCGTAGTCAAATTGTAAATATGCTCAAAAATCAACAACAAATCGCTCTATCTTCAATCTATCTCTCTCACTCTTTCTTTCTCTCTCTCTCTCTCTCTTTCTTACACACAAATATACACAATCACTTTCTATCTCTCTATCTCTCTTCTATATATATTTATTTTTATGTATTTATTTTGATCTTAGTGGAAAAAAGTTATACATAAAATGCAGAAAAAATGCTTCGCATACACATACTCCCTCTCCCTCTCTCTCTCTCTCTCTCTCTTTCTTTGGCATTATCCAAAATTCAAACCGACCCAAAATTAAACAATTATATCCCGCTAATTACAATGACAACAAACAACACACAAACGAAACAACACAAAAAACATTTTCTCTCTCTCTCTCTCTCTCTATCTATTCTCTTCAACTTCATATGTACGTTATGTAGGCATATTCTCAACTCTTGCAGTTTCAGCGCCCGAAAGCAGGCTTTAAATTGATGTTAGGCAGTTTTAGAGTAGGTGCGTAAACTTCTACAACCAACTTCACAGCACAATTTTCAGCAAATCTCAAACTCTCTCAATCACACCAAAAACGTTATACTCTAAAAACATTATCTTTCAACCAAAAAACCCCACTCCAAAAAACCAAAAATACAAAAACAAAAAAACAAAAAACAATCGCACCTTATCAACCACAACAATGAAATACCGTAACGACATACTAAAGACGCCTATCGATATGGCTATGATGTCGGTAAGACTGGAAACTTCCATCATGAGACACGAGGCCCTGACGGCGTTACTTATGGCTGTTACGGTCTGATCGATCCCTATCATCTGTTGCGCGCCACACATTATGTGGCAGATGTGCATGGCTATCGCACGGTGGAGCCAGAGAAGCCAGTGGAGACCTTCCCGCCCGGTCTGTACAATGAGACGAACGGTGGTCCGTCCAAGCCTGGCATTCTGCTCCAGTGGCACGAACTCTACTTTCCAATTGGCTGCGGCAAATTTGAGGGCGGTGCCGTCCATGACATACCCTATTTCATAGTGGATGATGTAAGATGGAGCAAAGGGACTATGCGCACAGCTACTTATGAGCGTTCGTCTTTCTAGAACAAACAAAATGCCGGCTCCTCAGCCGGCTCCTCAATCAGCGTACCACTGAGGGGCACGGCGGAGAAGAGTTTGCCCATTCACAGTCAGGGACCGAAGGGCCTGTTCAATACAGGTGGAGAACACACTTACGATGGACCTGGCGTTCAGGCTCCGTCCTCCCATTCGGTGGCAGCCCTCAGACCCGGAAATCCAGGCGACAGTGAGCTTTTGACTGGCATCACGCAGAGTTGGGTCGGATTCAAATCTTTGTGTTTCAGATGGAAAGTACACACCAGATAATAGGCCCTACAATCATATCGTGGGCGCCCAAGGCGGCCAGGGCGGGTTCGGCCCCAATGGAGGGCCAACTGGACCGAACGGAGGTTTCGGTCCGAATGGAGGACCGAACGGTCCCAGTGGAGGTTTCGGACCTAATGGAGGACCGAACGGTCCCAGTGGAGGTTTCGGACCTAATGGAGGATTTGGACCGAACGGACCTAATGGACCCAAAGGTCCTGTTGGCCCTCCTGGCCCACATGGCCCCAACGGGCCACCTGGACCTTTCGGACCACCCGGACCCCCCGGACCACCGGGACCAGTCGGCGTGGGACCGGGAGCCTCAGGAAAGCCGGTATATAGGGATGGCGATCGCACTGGCACCGGTGCTGGCAACAATATTGGCGGTGGAGATGCCTACGGCCCAGGTGGCGGTACCGGCACCGGTGGTGGTTACAGATATTCCCCCGGCAGTGGCTCCGGTAACGGCGATGGTGGCAAATACAGTCCTGGCACTGGCATCGGACCCGGTGGCGGTAATGCTTACCAGACCGGCAGTGGTTCCGGTCCAGATGGTGCTGGCACTTACCGTCCCGGCAACGGTGGCGGTGTTGGTGGCGGTGATGCCACCGGTCCCGGACCTCTGGGCGGTGGCGATAGGATCCGTCCCGGCAGTGGTGGCAAAATCGGTGGCGGTGATGCCTACCATCAAGGTGGCGGTGATGCCTATCGCCCAGGCGCCGGTGTCAATATCGGAACCGGCACTGGTGGCCGTCCGGGCGGCGGTAATGGTGACTATAGCGGCAACAAGCCCGACAACAGTGGCGCCTACAATGGACACACAAATACCGGTTTTCCTGAGGCAATCAAATACACATCAGGTTAGATCAATTGCGATTTGTAACTGCACCGCCGCACAGATCGAAAACAAACTTTGAACAGGCCGCTGAGCGGCTACCGGGCGGGGACATAGCACCTAAGTAATTGATTAAGCTTTGCAGATAAGTCGAAATGATACTGCCCCCAATCGCAAAACGGCCTGTTCAAATTGTCCCTCTGCTCTGCTGGCCTAGCTCTAAGTTCCACTTAAACTATATTATATATTATATATATACATATATGATATATGCCTCTATTACGCTAATGTACAATTAATTATGTTTTATTTTAAGCAGTCTTGTTTATTTTCAGCCAAGAAACTTGAAACCAATATATTTTTAAAGCCACCTCTTGTTCCTATTTCAAAAACACAACTCTCAAAATATATTATTCAGGCACAAATACACACACCCACACACATACACACACAGCAGGGCAACTTTAGGGCACCCCATAGTTATTTTTACTGTTATTAGAGCACTTTTGCTAAGAGCGCACAATCAAGCAATAAATCTCAATATCTCTCTTATCCCTCTCTCTCTCTCTCCCTATAACTTTATCTTTCTTTCTCTATCTGTCTCTCTGTACTGTCACTATCTGTTTCATTTGCTTTTTATATCAAAGATGCCAACCGTTTTTGATCGAAAGCACATTCAATTATTATTTATATATTTTTCAATTTATCACCGTTTTCTGATTTGTTCTCAGTTCCGCATTTGGCTGAGAAATCCCGCACCGAATCAACCACACTTAACCATAATTTCTCATTCATGCTTTCATGCACAAGAATGAAGCACACACGCACACACACACAGCACACGCCCACCTTTTTGGAAGCCTTGGCACATTTGTACACATATTTACCTACACAGCAAACTCCCACGCCCACATACATGCCGCTTGAGCAATGTTACTAACGGTTAAAGGTTTACAACTAATTTTTTGTTTGGGTTTTGGTGTTTTGTATTTGTTTTTGTTTTTTTTCTGAAACTTAGTTTAACCGTTTATTGTAAAACGACCTAACGCATGTCGTTTGCATGTTTTCTGAGTTATTTGGTGTTGGTATCTTAGCACACCCCGTAGTCGTAAGCTGTTTAGGTCAATCTAAATGTACCTCGTACCTTGTACCTAGTAGTACCTAGTCGTACATACCCGTAGTACTATAACGTACTGTATGCACTCTATTGTAGTTAGTCCTTAGCTAATTTACACTTTATACGTCGTAAATCGTTCGCTCTTATCCTTACAAGTTTAATAATCGTATGCTTTGCATCACATTACCCTCTTTTCCCAATAGGAGCCGGTAAATATAATGCTAATAGCGGAGGTTATAGGGGTAAGTTACAGCAGTGTTTGAAATCGTTGGGGTCTTGTTTATTCACGTAATTGATTCGATTCAGGTGTTAACGAAGGAAAATACTATCATGATGATTCTGGTAAATATGTGCATGTTGAAGGCCCCACTGGTCCACCAGCTCCACCATATGTGCACGTAGTAGGACCTGAGGGCGGCTTCGGCGGCAATGGCGATGGCGGCGGTACCGGAGGATTCGGTCCCAACGGTCCTGGCGGACCAAACGGACCCGGCGGACCAGGCGGACCAGGCGGTCAGTTGAAATCATATGTTAAATAATCAGATCAAATCTCATTGCCATTTGACTTATCAATTATAGGACCAAAGGGACCCAAGGGACCACCCGGCCCACCCGGACCACCAGGTATGTGGAATGGTTTCAATAATTTAAGATAACATAAGTTTACCACACAACACTTTGGTGATTTGACTCGTTTGGGCTATGGTATAAATGCAATGGAAATTTTTATAGGACCACCCGGACCTAACGGACCCGATCGTCCAGGACCTAAGGGACCATTCGGTAAGCAGCAAATAATTGCTTAGTTTACCTTCATTGTCTATAATTGCACACTTAATTTCGACAGGCCCAACCGGACCACCCGGACCACCTGGACCCACACGTCCGGGCCCACCAGGACCTCCCGGACCACCCGGTTTGTAGCTTAATGGTTAATTTGCATATGAATTTTGGGTAATGTGCTTCACTTTTAAAGGCCCACGTCCACCATACAAGCCAGATGATCCCAGATACTCGAACAAGGACCCCGAGGGCTACCTGCCGCCAGTTAACAAGGGTAAAATCGTACCACAACCACCATCCTACGCACAAGTCATTCAGCCGACTCCTAAGCCAACTTTCAAGCCAAATTACGAACATAACGATAATTTTGTGATTAAGAAAGTGCCAACCACTAAAGTACCACTAACCTATATTCCTCCTTCTTCCCCAAAAACCGTTCCTATCCACGTTCCTGCGAATCCCACACCACAACTACCAATCAAAACGATTCCCACGACACAGCCAAAGGTCCCGGCTATCACTATTAATACGGAAAGACCAGTAAAAGGCATTACAAAAGTACCAACGGGTAATATAATTAAACCTAAGACACCCGCACCTACACCAGCACCCACACCATACAAACCAATCCCAACACAACCGCCACACTTTGTCAACACTTACAATCCAAAGCCAATTGTACCGATCGAACCAATACGACCCACGATCAGTGTACCGGCATACAAGCCATCGACACCCAGGCCATTTGAGCCAGCACCGACAAACAGACCAACTGCCCGACCACCCATTTACAATGAACCGAAGACGACGCCAATCGTCAACAAGAATGTAACTCCACATCCCTCTCCACCATTCCATGTGCCGTCGTATCCACCAAGCAGCGAAACCTGCGTTTGTAATGCCGATAAGCCGCACTCTTCAAAACCAACCTATACCTCCTCCTCATCCTATCCCAACTCGAACCCGGCCTCGGTCGACTTTAACAAACAATTCACCGGCTTCAATGGAAACCCGAATTTCGGCAGCATAATGAACGCCATGTCACTAACCCAACTGCCCGTCGTGCCACAGGCACCTGGCCTGCCGGCCTTCTATCCACCCGACAAGATTCCAAAGGGTGCTGTGATCGCCTTCATGCCCGTGGTCATACTGCCACAGGAGTATTACGCCAATTGTGATGATAATGCCATTCGCACACCAAGCAAATATCAAACTGTTGATCCCTTCCCACTGGGTGTCCAGCCAGCCACGATACCGAACAGCTTCAGTGTGCACTCAATTTTCTCGGGCGCCGGACCGAAGGATCAGTGCATGTGTCCATGCTCCTGCACCCAGAATCTGGATAAATATCACAAGAAACGCGAGACTAATGCTGCAGATGCGCCCGAGGTGACAGCAACTGTTGAGGAGCCTGCCAAGGCAGTGGAACCTATTGCTGAAGCTTCCTCGCCTGTCGAAGTTAAGGCTGAGGCACCCGTTGCCGCTGCTGCCACACCTGTGGAAGCAAAGGTTGAGGCACCAGTTGCCGAGGCTTCCTCGGATGTCGAAGTCAAGGTTAAGGCACCCGTTGCTGAAGCTTCCACACCAGCTGAAGTCAAGGTTGAGGCACCAATTGCCGAAGCTTCCACACCCGTAGAAGTGAAGGTTGAGGCCCCAGTTGCAGAAGCAACCACACCAGTAGAAGTCAAGGTTGAGGCACCCGTTGCTGCAGCTGAGAAGAGCATAGCAACTGCTACTATAACCAAGGTGGAGCCCGTGGCAGAGTCGGCAACGAACTAGACACAATACAATTGACGCCTGGACGTCTACGAAACTACCCTAAAATTATCCCAGCTCCCGCTCCCAGCACCGCCTGCAACCCCTGCACTACTACTCCCTCAATCCGCAGCACCTCAACTAATCCTAATTTGCCAGTTAACCAGCTTAGTCTAAGTGTTTTTATTAACGAGGTAATACTCTCAGCCAGCAAAGGTTCAACAAAAAATATAAGAAAACAAAAAAAAAGAATAGAAAAATGAGAAGGAATCAAGTGCCCATTGAATGTGTTCGTTTATTTTGCTTAAAGAAATTAATTTTTTTGCTTTTGTTGTAATCGAAATGCACTCTAAGCTTCCTGTCAGCTATCAGCCTCGGCTAAATCTTTTTCTTATTTGCTTACCGCTTTTACATCTTGATATGTGGCAGTGGCGAAAATAGAAGGAAACTAGAAAAAATTGTGAAAAACGATGGAAATTCAGAAATTGTTTGTGACATGTTGTTTATTATGCATTTTTTTATATATATCTATGTATTAATTTGTATTTTGTTCGCCTTCTTTAGATTTTAGTTGATAGTTTATTTAATTTCTATTCTAATAATGCTTGAAACGGAGAAATGAATTGTTATGTCTAAAGTGAAATGATGAAATTAAATAAAATGTAAGAAAAATCAATACCCATATTTCTTTTATATTTCTCATTTACCATTTCTTTTCCGCCCCAGCGAAGCCAGCAAAATATTTATCTTTTTCAGCGCCGCCTAAAAGTATGCAACGAATAAATTTACGAATTGTACCTGACGGAAGCACCGAAGCTCCAAGGAAAAGCCAGATAACTTCTCATGTAACTGGAACCCATTGTACATAGAAACGATGGAAAAGGCATAAGACGGCGTGGCGTAGTATAAACATATTCATGAACAATATCAACAGCAGAGTTATACTGTCTGTCTATCGAGCATGGAATCTAGAAGAGTTTGTGATTTGAAATTTTAGTCATAGTTCCAACAATTGCATGCGCAGATCGACTTCATGTCAGATAGTCGAAAACTTCATCGAACTTCAATTGAAAAATCACATTCCTAACGTCTGTCTAGCTAGACTTTCCAAATCTTAAAGACACGCAGTATGTTTGCAAGCGCAGATTGGCCCAGGCTCAGGGTATCTAATAGCTGAGTTTTCTTAGTTGTTTTCTTAAGTATTCACCGCAAATGAGTAAAAATTAAAAAGAAAAAAATTCTATCTCTTATTTTTACAAATTTGAATATATTTTTGTAACAATGGCTTTATGAGGAATATTAATTTTTTGGGCTTCAGCAACAGCTCGATGTACGTTCGCAAGCGAAAGGCTTTGCTGACGTTGGGTGAATTTTATTTAGCCGAAACTTTTTAATTTTGTGAAAATAATTCCAGGTATGCATGCTTTAAAGCTTATTAATTATTTCTTTTCTGCAAAACAATATGCTGCACAACATGTTGAAAGTAAATGATAAATATTTCTATGAATAACTTAAAGTGCTAACACAGTGCCTATTGTCTGTTTAAGGCATTAGTTGAACATGATTTGTTATTCAACTTCGAATTGACAAGTTGACTTAGGGCAAGCAAAGTAAATTTATACATAATTAAGATGAAAGTTCCTGAGTGTAGCACGTCGAAGTAGAAACAGCTTATGAATCATTTCTAGACTCACATTCATCGCTCTTACATAATAAGTACAAACCTTAAAAGCTAAATTGATAACTTTGCCTTTTGTTCACCTTGAATTGCGGGTTACGACGCGACGTAACCCAGTTTTTGTTTAGTTTTACGACTTTAACAAGTCAATACTGAGAAGTTGTAATTCCCGCATCGCACAAACCCAAATATTGTTCACACGTTTCGTTAGTGCTAAAAGAGATATGCATATCGAGGTTATATATACTGCCAGATATATGACCCAAAGTGGATTGAAAGTGCTTTTAAAGAACTTTACAGATTGAGCTAGAGCTGCAGGCAGACAAAGAGTCAGTCTGAGTAGCTGAAGTCAAGGAACGCAGCCGACTTCTTTCCTGTCGATTGTAGCTATTGTACTTATATTAAATTTGCTCAATTAGCTGCCACACCTTGGCGTTTTGTGAATGAATTTCGAGTGCATGGCCTCAAGGGTGCTTTGGCTCTATTGTCTTTCTTCGGCAGGTCGAGCAAAGGGAAGCAGCTAACGCCGTGGCTTAGTACCAGAATAGCTGGCAAATATTTGCATAAGCGGCGCAAGTTTTTGGCTCTATGTGTGTGAGTGTGGGCAGATAATTGGAATTAAAGATATAGCAAGCAAACAATATTTCTGTCTGCTGTAGTTCTCACAAAAAAATAAAAATATATGCCCGTCGGTCCACATGAAAGAAAGCGATCTGTGAACACAGCCTAAACAAAACGATTTCCAGTTTTTCGTTGCGCGTTTGTTTGTGTTTGCTAAAGTTTAAAGCGCAAATATCTTAAATTAAACTCACGCAATGGCAACAAACAAGCGACAAGAGACAACCAAAATGAGGCATTTATTTTGTCACCTGCCCCACGCAAATATTAATAATAATACATAATCGCTTTGCCAAAAGGTCGCTAGTATTATTTAATTTGAGGCTAATACTCAAGAATCAGAAGGTAAATTGAAATAGGCTTAACCACTTATGATACGAAATTACAAACATTTAGTGTAACAAACCAATTTCAACAATTAAATCATTAATTATTCTATAAATACATACAAAATTATCAACGATAAATTTTGAGTTGTTTTTAAATTCAATTGAATTTAGACTTAAGGTTGCAAAGCTCTGCCAAGCCCAGCCCTGGCGTAATACGTAAGCTTTGTCTACTTTCGGGCCGCCTTACGTGGCGTATGAGTAATAAAAGTAACGTAGCCGCAACGTTTTAACTGGTCTGCGAAGTGCGACTTGGTGCTGGGCCAAGCTTATTTTATTATTGTTTCGGTTTGTTTGTTTCGGCAACGCTGACGTCTACGTCGACTTGAGCGCAGCAACTCAGCTGGAAAATGAAAAATATAAATTGGCCCCGCACTCTGGGAAACAGAATTATTTAAAGTACAAGCGTTGCTTCAGTCAGTTGTCTCTTAGCTATTCTATAGTGCGTTCGTCTGCCTACACCTAACTTCTAACATCATGTATGCCAAGCGCTGTTTGCCACTTTTGGTAGGTATTAAGACATCTGAAGAGCAGGAGTTCGGTTAATCCTAAAAGTGTGTGTTATAAATCTTAATGCAGCTGCTGCTCCTGTGTGGTGCCATTGCCAGGAGTGAGCCACAGGTGGCCAAAGTGAACGATTTGGCGACTGCCGAAACCTCGGCCAAGTGTAAGAATCTGCTGTGGGCCATAATGATTACTCAATTATAACAATTTCTACTGCGCCCTTAAGTGTTGAACCTGGGCGGTTTATTTGGACAGGGCTCTGGCTATCCAAACTATGGCTATAATTATCCCAATTATGGATACAACACGGGCTACTACAACAGACCTATCAGCGGCTATTACCCAAGCTCCGGCGCTGGCTATTATCCAACCAACAGCTACAATGGCGGCAGTTACTATGGCAGCACGGGTGGTGCTTACTATCCCAGCACGGGCGGTGGCTATTATCCCAACAGCGGCTACTACCCAACCACCAATATACTGGGCTCATCGGGATATGGCGGCTATGGAGGATATGGAGGTAATGGCGGCTTAAGGCAGTATTCGGGCTATTGGCAGCCAGAGTATAGTGGCCAACGCTATCGGGGTTATGGCTATTACCGTAACACCGATCGCTATGGCCTGCCGATGGCCAGAGAGCGTGATTACTATCGTGATCGCAGCCACTATGGCGGCTATCGCGGCTATGACTAATGCTTATAGCTTGTTAAATCTCTTTGTGCTTTTTGCTCTGCTTTGTCTTTGTATATATAACGCGTCTGCTTTATGCTAATCAAACTAGCAATAAAACTTTAATGTCTACTAATTTCATTTAAGCAGTATTTTAATAATCTATTCCACATTACATTGCCTTCTGACAAGTCTCATTTCAGCTGCAACAGACACACAATTATGATAATACAGATTGTAATTGTGGCTGGGTTACGCCCAATTGCACGCTGAAATTTGTCATTCACTGGGTGTCATATGGGAGTCCAAGTATAGGCCGGCGGCATATAATTATGTGTGTATGTGTGTTTGTTTGTGTGTGTAGCTCAGCTTAATATGTGGTAATTGTTGTCTTAATCATCTTGTCTTACCCTGACAATGTGCATGCAAAGTACAGAATTTCAGCTAAAGCCTAAAAGCATGCTATGCTTTTTGACAACTTTAATAGCAAGCGCCCGCGTTGCCAACTTACGTTAAAAAATATTTGCTTTTGTTTTCTCTTTCGTTCTAATTCGCAGGTTTGGCACGCAAGATTTACGGCTAGAGGCGACAGCAGTAAGACAGAGACGCCCACCAAGAAGCACCAAGCAAGAAGCAACTGTTATGCTTCAGCAAACACCACAACAACCAACAACAAGAACAACAACTACAACATGCAGCTGCAGCAGTACAATACAATAGCAGCATTTTCCCAACGTAAGCACATAAAGTTTAGCATGCACTTTATTGCATTGCAGCCCGCATTAAGTTACATACTACCCTCGTATTTGACACACGCATTATCTGAACGAAAAATTAAATAAAAAAGAAAGAAACATCGCTACTTTTAATGGTTGCTTAAAGTCTTAAAGTAAATTCATGTTTATATTTTGATTCTTTTGTAGCCAGCGACACTTGAAGGGCGAGACAAACAAAATGTAAGCAGCATGCAACGAAGCGTGTTTTTTTTCTTTTGTATACCACTTTGTGTTAGTTGTCTTAAGCGATGTGTGTTGACAAAGTTGAAAGTTTCGTCTTGATAAGCTAAAACCAATTTTTCTTATTCAGCAAGCTATAGTAAAGTAAGGCAAATATGTGCTAATGTTAATACGAAATTGTCTTTAGAGTATAACTAAAAACAAAATGAAGAAGAACTTGGAGCTTGAGCTGTTTCACATAACTACATTTTGTCAGCTGTTTAAGTCGAAGTCAGCGAAGCAGAATGAATTAATGAATATAATAATGAATGAATGAGGGAATAAATTATTGAAAGAATGAATCAAGGAATGAATGTACTATCATTATAAAATTATGAAATAGGAACTTAATATCTTAAATATTTTTGATATATTTTTCTATTGCTAGTAAATGGGAACTACTAGCTTAAAATTTAGCTCTAGAGCAAACGACAGGCTGAATATATATATTAAAATAGATTATAGATTTTTCGCTTTGTATCTAGGCACACAAACGTTCATTTCGATACCCTCCACTTGGTGAAAAATTTCCGTTTTTTTGTATACAAAAATCAAATTTAAATACCAAATGAAAAAACTTTCCCAAATTTTTAACATTTCGACTAACAGAAAACATTTCAAAATTGGCCGCTCATTAAACACAACCAAAGTCAATATACAATAATTACGGCTTCAGATGACAGCGAGAATTCGGATCGAGAAAATATTCCACAATTGAGTTCTTTAATCTATCAATGTGTGCACATTCGTTCGCCTGCTCTAACTCGTTCCATTCATTGAATGCGTCGCTTCCTTCCGCGACGCTCATAAAAAACGTAATGTGCAAAAGCCAAATGATAGAAGAAGAAGAAGAGAAAAAAAAGAATGCTGTGAGGAATTTTATTTATCGTTAGATTGTTTAAAACATTTATGTGCCCATAAAAAGAGCCGAAATCGCGCACTAAAATTATGATCAAATGGAACTAAGCAAAAAATATTGCGCATACGCAATGTCGGCGGTGCTATGCTCTTTTATTATTGTTGCTGCTGTTTGTTGTTGTTAATGAAAATGTTTTTTTTTTCTGTATTTTTGGTGCTGGAGCATCGCGCACATTCAAGGCAAATAAAAATAATTAAAACATTGACACTGCGCAGAGCACGCGCTCGGCAGCAAGCCCAATAAATAAAATGATAAAGAAATGGAATTATTTATTTGGCGAGCGACATTAAAGTCGTGACGCGTCCAAATCTAATGTTAACAACATTTTAATTAAACTGCAATGCATATGCTGGATTAATCGTCTATTAGCTCAGCGGCAACAACTGCAAATATTTGCCTGGCCCACTCCTATATATAGATATTTTTAGTGCTGTCCTCGTAAATGTAAGCCAAGCCACTCGAAAATGCGATGCACTTATTAGTGCAACACACACAACTTGCTCGCCTCTAATTGAAATCCCAGTCGAGCTCTTGCGCTAGCTGCAGGGCAACAGACGAGTAAAACTTTTTCGCTCAAGTATCGACAAGGCTTTAAAGTCCAGAACAGCTCAACACCTAAACTTTAATGTAAACTGAACAGTTTTGGCGAGCCACTAGGCAATGGCTTGGCAAAAGTTCCTTCTGCAGTTGAATTTATAGAGCTTTTTGCAACATTTGGAAAGTTCGACTACTGCCAGGCACTTCAACAACATGAAACCGTTCTGCGGTTTTTCTGTCTTGAATTTGTCACATTCGTTTATTGAAATTGCTCTTGAAAAAGATTGTTTATTACACTGCTTAAAGCTTGTAATATGTTAAACATTATAGAAGATCTATTTCTGTATGTGTGAAGGCTCCCTTCATAGTAAATAAATTTTAGTAGAAATTACTTTTTTTCTGACGTTTTCAGCCATAAGAATATTCATGAGATTCGCAAATGAAACTCGGAAATTGCGTCAAACCCTTATCAAAACTATAAATATTTAAATGGATTAAGGGTCGTCGTATCATGTAATAGAAGGTAGAATGTTTGGAGCAAGCAGACGCAATAAGCTATCACAGGAGCTTATATCTCTTCGTCTGCTGATTTATCTATTTGATTCATCTATTCTTATGTATACCTATTGGTATTTAAATTTTTAACAATTTTTATAATCAATTAAAAGTTTTTGCACAAAATTAAATCCAGTCTGTATTTTGTCAATTGTTAAATCTTAATAAGCTAAAATGTTTCAAATGCTGTATAATGACGATATAAAGTATTTATGTATATACATATATAAGCGATGCCCTGAGGGCCTACCATGTCTTGTCTGTCCTATTCGCCGCTGTTTTATTGCAGAAACATGAGAAAAAGCGTAGCTAAAAGCCCGCTTCAGGGCCTGTCTAGTCTGAACTTCCCGACTCACTCTCCTGATTGAAATATTTTCATTTGTAAAAGCAGCCAAAAAGCATGAATAATTTGCCTTATTACACACACTGGTTGCTGACAGCTGTCTGTCAAAATTATCGCCTGCCTTTCTAATTGTGTAAACTTGAGCAGAAGTTGGACAGTTGAATGACAATTGAGATTTATTAATTTTTCCTAGAAACTTGTTAAAGAGATGTTGAGATGAAGTGTAGAAAGTAGAAAGTCCTTGCAGCTAAAGCTGTTAGCTATTTGAGTAGCTCTTAAGTTAATTCACCCACCTGTTGAATGCCCATAGAGGATGACAGACGTGCAACGGAAGTATACGAGCTAGCAAGTTGCCATAGACACACAAATAGAAGTTAATAAAATTTATGACAGACTTTAAATAATTTTTTTATTTTTCTATAAAAAATTATTTTTAATTTGCCTAACTTGCTTTTGTCTGTAGCTTTATATAGCCGGCTGATCAAATGGCATGCGAACTCCATTAGCACCTGCGCGAGTTGGGCGTGACAGAGTTGCAGATACAAACACATATATATAGAGGTGCCACGTGCCTGAACTTCTTAGTGCAAATCATTTAAAACATGTGCAAAGGTTGACGTTGTTGTGCTGCTGCTACAGGAGTGACCATTTAACCCAACCAATACTTATCATATAACAAAAGCAAACATAATAATCCTCTCCAAGACAGACATAAACATAAATACAAGCACAAACAAATACCTGTTCGACATTTCGCCATGACAACAGCTAATCAAATTCGCATCCAGTTAACATGCGTTATCAATAGCACGTGCCGTCGAAGACCTTTACAGCAGACTCTAAATTATTGGAATCATTATCATTATGTATTTTTTATTGCTATGGCTTTCATTTTGCATTAACATTTCGCCAGCTGCAGTCAAGCGGAATTTATAGATAATTGCAATGCTTTAAGTGAGTAACGAGCGTTAATGAGGTAATCACTTACAGAGTCAAAACAATCGATAGAGTAGAATAGGTAAGTATGAAAGTAATGTTGGCCAGGCTAAAACTTTAATGCTCTTATATATATTTAGAGAGCTTAATCTAAATTAACTTGAGAAAGTTTTTCTTTTGCAATTTCCAGCTTAAAGTCGAAATCGAAAACGAAATCGAAATCGTCTTACAAGCGTGGCAATCTTTAGGAGCGCATACTTAAAATATATAAACAAAACTCAAATTTAATTTAAGCACTTAGCACTGGGACAAACTTGTATTTGCCTATAAGAAGACTCTTTAAACTCAGACAAAACATATCGAAATAAATTTTCTGCGTTTCGTTTTGCAGGTGAGAAAATCTGAACGCTTGAGCGCGTAAAATGTTACCTTAATTAGTTTGTATTTAATTCAATTGACACGTAAATATTAAAAGATTTATCGCTGTTCATCTTCTGGATTTATTCGTATTTGTCTATGTCTTTAGAGTACTTAAAGCTATATCAAATGAGGCGTGGCGCCATCAAATGTGCCGTATTGACATGTAGATACTGCCTTAATCAAGAGCTGATCACAATTCATTTGATAAATTTGCCACGACGGCTTCATTGCAGCCATTTAAAAGGCCATCAATATAAATGATATCGGACATGAAATTGACTGAGGCTGTCAATTGAAACACTTATTGATTGCCGTCAAAACATATTAATCGCCGAATGATTGCAATATCGTGGAGAGTGGAGAGTCAATCGAGAGAATTATACTGAATTGTATCTGTATAAGGTGTTTTGAAGTTTATCAATGCTAAACGTGAAAGAGAGACAAAGAGAGATAAAGAGAGACAGAGATAGAAGTAAAGAGATGGAGGGGGAGAGAGTGTGAGAAAGACTGACAGTGAGTGAAATAGAGAGAGACAGAGATAGAGTGAATTTTACTTTTACACATCTAGCATTTATACATCTAGCCTCTAGATGAATTTTCGTATAGGGTATTTTTCAGTTCATTAAATAAAAATGAGATTGAGTTTCAAAGAATTAACCTAAGCCTATACAATACTGTAATATATAACTAATATACCATAATACAAATTAGAGGTCGAATTAGTGAGCTCTTGCTACTCTAGGCAACCTTTAAGGTATCCTCAACAAACATAAGCTGAAGACAATAAGAGTTCATAGAAGCAAACTCTGATTTAGATGTTGCCAACCTTATGATTCTCCTTATCTACGCTTATTACTGTGTTTAAGCTATGAAGAGTCCACTCCACAGTTGCTCCTCAGCTGCTTTCTGGCTGTTACTTGAATCTCTACTATTCTATTATATCCCACTTCATAAAGGTAAGGCAAACTTGGCTCTTCTAAAACCCCCTAAATAATATCCATGAGAGTGTTGACCCATTTTTTATCACTGAACAAACATATAGATGTAGTTGGCATATTTAATTACCTAACATAAAGATAAATGAATGTTTACCTTATATTCTTTCGCACAGATAACATTGAAATCTTTGTTCGATTGACCGGGCAACAATCTAATTAAGTAAAAATATTCCATGCACAGCACAGGCAAATTGCCGATATCCATGAATTATTTATCACTGAGGCATTTATCTTCAATTATTCGATAAACGAATGATTGCATCGATAGATGATAAACACAATTTTATTAGTATCAGTCACTCTTGTTGCTGCTGTTGTTGTTGCTGCTTATCTTGTTTTGGGGGGCAATCAAAGCTGACAACATGCACATAAAAAAGGTGGGTGGGTGCTTGGGTAGATAAATAAATGAATACGACTTTCGCACGATATTCCGATTGATATAAAGCAGAGACACGCCCAGCTTCCTAGATGTGATTGTTGTTCTTGCTGTTGCTGTTGCTGTTGCTGTTTACCGCAATGTGATTTTTATTGGTGTTCGTTACGAAAATTGATTAAGATATAGCTGCACCTGCTTTTGCTTGCCTTTTGCTTGTACCACATGACGTATGCGTATTCCACTGCCTCTGCTGCTGTCTGTGTGTGCGCGCGCGCCAGCCCTGTGCTTACGCCTGTGTGCGAGGAATCAATAGGAGCGCAAACGCTTCTGCCGGCCCAAAAAACAGCTACGCAGCCATCAGTTGCTTCTGTGCGCTTTCATTGTGCGGTTGCTCGGCCACTCCGCTGCGATCGTTCGAGCTGACAGCTTCGTGTATTTATAATATATATATATATAAATTTAATACAAATTGTAACACATCAGAAACGAAGCAACACGTTTCCTTATCTAAGTGAATTATTGCCGCTGTTTTGATTCTACAACAGTTTGGCATTGGAATTCAATTTGCATAGAATCGAATCCTAAAAAACCAAACACGCAAACACACACTCACGCATAGACACACTTGTCTAGCAATTAAAATTAGTGTGGCATTTACGCTGGCCAATTTGTGATAGTGCGGCTCTTGATTATCAACGTTTAAACAACAAAATCTATAGCTAAAATAGCGCAAAAACAAACCAAAAGCTAATTGCATTTGGTCAACAGCAATACAATATTAGTTTGATTATTAGTGTTGTTGTTGTGATAATACTTTGTATAAATTAAAGGCGTAGCAGTAATTAATTTCTGGGTAAGTTGCAAATTAATATTTCACGCCACAAACTGGAAATTATTTCCCGGCGTTTCACTAACTAATAATAAAATAATACCAAAAAGAAAAGCATAAAAAATAGGAAAAATAAAAAAAATAATATGCATTTCCGTTGCTGGCATATAAGCGCATTTCAATTGCCAATGCAAATTAATTTTCATTGCAATTAAGAGCATTAAATGCATTTGCACTCTGTGTTTATTTAGCAGCGCGTGTCGCATACTAAGTCACTCGAACAGTTCGTCATTTAGCTATCACATATCACATATCGAAAACAGCGAAATAAACATATAATAATAAAAACAACAACAACAGAAAAATTTAATTTAAAATACATAAAATTCTCATTGCGTTTGGCAATTAGCCGATGGCAAGAAAAATTTATTCTACTGGAATATTTATCAATAATACTTAGACACTTAATTGCGGAAACAAATTTTTTTTGTTTTTTTTTTTGGACTTTCATAAATATTTTGCTTAAGTTTTTGTTTTAATCTACGGAAACATAAACAAACTGTTCGATGGCCACGTTGGAAAGTCAAATGCCGAAAGTGCACTCAATTAAATAGAAAAATATTTAAATGAAAGGCTAATTTCTTATGTATTTAATTATTAAGCAACATTTGCCAATTTAAGCATGAAAATTGTTTTTTTAAAAAACTTTTTGTTTCATATGGGTAAATGTAAACGCTCTTTACATGACTGCAACAAAATCAATACATGCCACAACACAACGAATTCTTTTATATGCTCGTGTAGGCACTGTAAAGAGTATATTTGTTCTGTGTAGTAACATCTGTATGCAGCCACGCTACAAACTTACAATCCTTAGAAAATGAGAATATAGAAAGTATTAGAATGTATTTGGCAGATTTACTAGATTACTAGAATTCTACGACTCAGCAAGTCCTTGGGTAACACCTCTATAGACCTATCAATCAATAGGTAATTGATATGTGTAGCTTGAGTAAATTAGAGACTACTCTATGTATATCTTCAATACTTTAAGAGCTGGCGAGTATTTTGCTATTGGCTACGCCCGGTTAGAACATTCTTACCTGCTTGCTTTTAAATATTAGTGTTTACTTTGTTAACAGCTCGCCATTGTTGCCAGTCGTTAGTTCAACGTTTCATTACGCCCTCCATGCAGCTCAACTAAAATAGTTTAGCGAACCATGAGAATGAACCAAGGTATTAAAGACTAGGATAATTACATTTAGAACGTACGCTCAACGAACTGTAATTATGCGCTATGAGCATAGCGTAAACCTACTCTCGATATAAAACGAAAGGCGAAAGGCAAAAGAATTTATTGAGCCATTAAATTGTGAAACATGGCGTGAAAATGCGTTTTTCATGTTTTTTTGTTGGTTTTTTGTTTTAAATTTTCCTTACAATGTTTGTAAGCCAATTCATATTGTGATGTTGTTTTCTCATTGTTTGTTTAAGCCATGACATAATTAAATTCGTTAAAGGACAATTAAAAGTTGCTCGGAGCGTTTTGCGACTTTGCTTTGAATAATAGTTAAGTGCCTGAAATCATAACATAAAAAAATTCTATCACAATTCGAAAGCAATTAAAACTAATAAAATTCAGCTTGGGTAGCAACCCGCAAACTAAATTCTGAGAATTTCTTTAAGCTCAACAATTCATGGAAACATAATTAATTAGAGTGAGATATATTTTGGGATAACTCCAACTGCATGACAGTATCTGCCAGCTATAATTAATCACCAAGGGTATTTAAATAGCGAATCGACCACAGACTTGAAATACCTAATTATATTAGGCTTAGACACCTGATTAATTTGTTCATAGTCCACCTATATATTCTTGAGTAATTAAGCTGGACAACTGTTTAAATGTTTGAAATGTTCATAGTCTACTTATTTGGGCTGCATTTCAACACTCCGCCCGGCATGAATATTTCATATGAGCCAACTTTGACGTTCATGAAAAACTGCAAAAAGTTAAACAAAACGAAAGAAAATTAAATTATGAAAAACTTTTACCTTTAGAGCTAAATACAACAGGCACACGTGAAGTCCTTAAACAGATCTTCGCTATATTTAAATGCTTTAAATATTATACTTAAACAAAAGAATATAAGTATTTAAGGCATATGAGATAAGCATAACGACTAACAGAAGACTGTGAAAAAGTTGGTCAAAATTACAATGAAATGAATTTAAGTAAAACTTTTAACTTTTTAAACACATGGCAGCCATATGCAAAAACGTTCTTTATGAATTATTAATAACTATTTTTACTTTAATATTTTTGCATTTTGTTAACTTATTTTCATGGAAGTTGAAAAAGAGAGTTTCTCTTACCTCCACACAAATTGGCTGAAATGTAAGCAGATTATAATGAAATTGTGTAAGTGCACTTTGTTCTGCGAATCCTTAAACAACAACTTCTTCGGTTCGCATTATGCATCGGTAATACGATTTACCAAATTACTGAACCAGTAAGCTGATTAATTAGCCAACTTACGTTCTCACGCATCTTGAGTTTCCCTCCTGTTCAGTTTAGTGGCATCTCAGTTGAGTGTTCCATGTCGAATTGTATTAATTCGTTCATGCGAACTCTTCAATATGCGATTATTGAATTCGTAATCTAGTTAAGAAGGTAAGTGAGCACTTCCACTTGTTGAATCTTTAAGTTTTTGCATATCTCATGCAAATGTTAAAAAGGGAATATTAAATTCAAGCAATGTAAATGTTTCTAGGCTACAGCTGCGACTCCACAGTTTAATATGTTAAAGAGCTGAAGGTGGAGGACTTGCGAATATGTCTGCTATAAACAGCAGTTATTTGCAAATGTATGCATAATTTCACTTCGATATACCCTGTATACACAGTGGATATTGATGGGTATATGCAAAAATACTACTGCTACTCTATCGAATTTGTATATATACAATCTGACTGATGTTGCCCGTATAACTCAGGGATTGATGATATTAGAGGTGGTCTATAAGATGCTAAAAAGTGAAGGAAAAAACCTTTTCTATTATTTTCTTTATATTTTATACATCATTTTTTCAGGGTATCTCATAGTCGTTATAGTAATGCTATTTTCTTTCTGCATTAATTTCGCATAAGTATAAGTGTTTTCTATTTTCAGCACTCTATTTTTCCATTTATTAGAATTTTAAAGATTATGAGAATTAAGTCAGTTTAGCATATTTTAATTTTTTCTGTTAAGTGGAAAATGTCTGTGAAATTCTCATTTTACTATACTATGTGATACTATATAATATATATAGATAGTCAGAAAAACTCTTAATAGACAGCAGCAGATGAAAGTCTGACAGCATTTGAAAGTCAGTTGGTTTGGCAACGAGTCGAATTTCGCTTTGATGTTACCAACAATGGCAGCTGGCAAAATACCTCAAAAAGAACAGTTATGTAGGAGTACATTCATATTACAAACAAATCAAGCTGAGTTCATAGAAATCTGCAATCAGGCAATAACTGCTTCCTATACAAGTTCCATTTCCATTTTCGTTTTAGTACAATTTCCATTGATGCTCTCTTTGCAAAGCAGGTCGGCATCTTTCATTTACTTGATTTTTGGTTCATTTCTATTGCATATTTGTAATAGATACAACCTTTGACCTCGCCCCGGCTACTCGGTGGCGGCTGTTGTCGCAGTCATTAGTCAAAATTTGAGTACTGCGACGCTGACGAACTGCCCGACAACTATATAAATATGTATTTATTACAGTGTTCACATTACAAGATTGCTATCGCAGCCAAGCGAAATGTCACCCAATAACAATTAGTTCTTGCATTAAATATTTATTAGGTTCGTCTCTGACCCATTTGCTTATGTAGATAAATGTTGTGGTGTCTAGACTCAGTATGATTGCGTGTGTTTGTTCAAGCTAACTACTTCAAATATACTGCTTAACTCGATTTACTGGGATCCTCTTACAGCCAAAGTCAATTTTCTATAATCTCGTTATTAGAGCTTAACTTACTTAAACTTGGTTTCATTTCCTGTTACATACAGAATTCTAAATTGGCCAAATCCACATGAAGGCATTTGTTAAACTATGTTGATTTAATTCAAAATGATTTGGCAAAAAGCAATTTTCCATTCCACATTGCAACAAAGAATTTTAAATGTGATTGCTGAGCAGACTGAAAGACAAAAATTTGTATTGAAAAAGATATTTATGTTTCATAGATGATTGTCGAGTAAGGCTTAAAGCATGCAGCTCACATTTTATTCAATCCTGAAATCTTTCTATTTTTTATGTTATAAGAGCCTGAAGATAAACAATTTTACTTCGTTCACAAAATTTGTGCGAAAACTCACAGCTGCTGTTACTATTTTTATTCATTTTTCAAACGGGCCTAAAGTTTTGTTGGTGACACTTCCCCTTTCCATTCGCTTACAATATTCAATCTATTTGTCCTCTCTCATGTGTGTGCATATTATTATTTTTTGATTTTCCCAAGTTTTCCTTGACGTTTTACAGAATAGTTTCAACTGCGTGTTAGATTTATTTTAATCTCCTACGTCAGACTGTAGTTGCGTTTCTGCGAATAACAAGCTAGAGTATCGCAGATACTGCAACCCTTCTTTATATGTTATATAACATACGCTTGTTGAGCTCTGCGCAGCGAATCACTTAAGCCATTCACAAGAAATGGAGAAATAATATTAAGGAAGAGAATTTTCCCATGAACTTGAGTTACTTACTGAGGCATTGTTATTTGTCAAGAAGTTGTTGTGATGAAAGGTAAAGCTTTCGAGAGTAAATGCCAATTTTAGTCGGAAAATGATTTGAGCCATGGCAAATTTCATGATGCTTCAAAACCACTTAGCGCCACTTCATGCCACTTTGCGACTTACCGATTTATCTAGAAATTTTATCTATTTTTTGTCTTAGATTAGCTGCGTGATAAGCTGGAGTCTGCTTGTTTTGTTTACAAAACATCGACTCCTCTAACTACACTCTTTTAAATTTTAAATTTGTTTATTTGTCAATATATACTTAACCTTTGACCTTTATTCACAGTGACCCACATGCCAGCACCATTTGCCTGCCAAACTTAATTATAATTTCACATTTTTTTGTTACGGTCGCTAACAAACAATATTGCTAATTAAACTTTGTTTGGGTCGCCGCTTGAAGAATGTCAAAAGCATTTCTTTTCGTAGGTAATTAAAAAAAATAGGTAAAAATGATTAAATCGGGCGTATTATACTCTGCTACTAAGAAACAGATACACAGCAGACTTAGAACTAATGACAGCTCTACTATTGTGGGAGCTATTGACTTACTGAAGGGGCACTTCGTCTGTCTATATATATACTTCCTCAAATTTGACAGACATATGCATTTGCCTGGTAAGACTCTTGCCCATTGGACGTAGATATTTAACCTATTAGTTAACTAGCCATTAATTGTGTTTGTTTACTTTGTTGGGTGTCAAATAATTGCCGATTTGCCACACCTACAGTAGTCGTATTCAAAAAATACTGAAACTCTGTAAGACAAGGCTAAAAAATACTCATACTTCGAACTGTGGTAACTTGTGATTGCAACAGCAACATGTTCGAGCATGGCAAACGAGTTGCTTTGCAACACGTTGTGTTTTGGCATAAAGTGGCAGCAACTTAAGAGCTGGCTTCGCTTGATAAAGCCCAAAGACAAGTTCCGTGGCACAGTTGATAACGCACGCTCGCGCGGTTTGGTTGCCCATTCGTTCCGGAATTACCTGTGGCAAAGGTCACAAAAAGTCCATTAAAGTTGTGCCAGCTGTTGAAAGGATTGTGTGGCTGGCCAACAGCTAATTACATTTTGACACGCTTGTGTGGTTCCGGGTAAAATCAAAATCATATAATTAAATAAATAAACAAGAAAAAGTTATTAGAACTTTAGGACCTGTGCCCACCTCTGCAGGGAGTGACAATATACAGCACAATCGGGTAACATACGCATTTATTACAATTTCATTTAATGCCCGTAACGCACGTTTTGCCCTTACTTCGAGGCCTCGGCCAAAATGTTGAGCCCATGCCGCATCCAATTTCCTTTGGGTAACACGAGTTTTCTTACTCTTATTCTCTTTTTCTGTTTGTTTTTTATCTTTTCTTGTGATTTTTTTGTTTTTTGGAACGCTTTGATTGGACTTTTGCCTTTGTTTTAGTTTTTATTTCCAAGTAAATTTATATGACGGTCGCTATATGTGTGTATGTGCTTAAATGCCGTCTAAATATTTGATGATGTTCTTTCACTAGTTAAGCACGCATTGAATATAATGTTTAAAAGTTACTCTGGAGACCATGAAAGGAGCAGCTAATTGCCTTTGTAATACGTCAGCAGCAGACAGGTGTCTTTACTACTTAGTCCATGTTTTTCATTAAGATGAGCAGCGCAACAGCTAGGGCTTAAGTGGAGTTGCCTTTTATATTTAAATCTAGTTTTTGTTTCTTATTGAATTCAAAGAAATTACTTTTGAGGAGCTCCTAAGCGACACACATTTAAGATGCAATTGCTCATGCTCTCTTTCTATTCTCTTTTAAATTTCTTAAGAATTTTAAAGGTAAGCTCTTAGCTCAGCTGCAAAAAGATCAAATTGTCAGCTTAAAAACTTCGCCAACAAAAAAAGCTGAGCTCTCAAGAAAATATGACAGACGACAATGGAAATGGGTAAGGAGTGCCCAAGGAGCAGACAATAACAGTGCAAAGATGCAGGGAGAAAGATGTGTGAGAGAGAGAGAAAGAGTGAAACAGAGAGATATTAACGAAGCACCAATTGTTTGCATTTGAGCGTCTTTGAATAGCTCATATGTCTACCAAGTATATTGTAAGCTCATGTCTTTATCTATAAATTGGTATACTCTCGGTAAAGAGCAGTTTCTAATGCGCTTGACAATTTTTTTTTCCACAGTATACCAAATGTCTGCTGAAAATGAAGCTTAATTTTAAACTCAGCTTACTCTTTTGTTGGGCCTTTATTAGACACAAAGCTTTTTACACCGAAAAAGCATTATAAATCTGCCGATGCCTCTTGATAATATTTTGTGTTGGCCATTTTTGTGTGCGTTATCGGCTCACATGTTGCGTACTCAATATTTGCTATTTTAAGAAAATGAAAATGTAAACTTTTATTATGGACAGCTTTTCTTTGATGCATAAGCTTGGTATTTCGATACGCTCTAAGTACTTATTTATTCCTCTGTACTTTTCTTTGATGTGCCCAATCTGTTTATTGACGAATATTTGTACTTCAATATGCGACATTCAATAATATTCTATTAATATACTCTCCAAATATTTACTCCAGAAGTTGTGATACATGTGGCAAGTGCGGGGTGCCAGTAAAGCTTAACGAGGGTCCTTCAGTTGGCAAACTTTGGGCCTTTGTGGCGCAGAAAAGTTCAACGATTCACGTTTTTGCATTTAACGACTTTTCACGCTGCGTTTAATGCCCATAAGCTGGACGCAGCCAATGTTTACTGGAGGCTTGGCTGGCAGCCTTCTAGACGAATTTATAACCGTGAAGCAGGCAACATTTTATGTTAGACTAATTAACAGGTTTTGGCAGTGGAGCATTTCCTGTACAAGTTTTCGACTAATTTAAACCATTTTCTTACAGTCTACCAAATTGCTTATATAATTTGATAATGTCGAATTCAAGCTGAAGTTAAAGCCACAATTTTCATATTTTCTACTATGAAAAGGCGAATTGCCTGACAACCGCCATAATGGAATTTTATGGCCAGCAGCTGGCAGCCAGCATCAAAGCCCACTCATGCACACACGCTTACGAGGTGTAGTCCTCGGGGCTTCAGTGATGCGCTCACCTTGAGCTGATGAAATACTGTATCAAGTTAAATGAGTTAGCTCCTTATAAACCATGCATTGTTGTGCGACACCTTCAAGCAGCGAATGCGAAAGGGTGGGAGCCTGACACAGACGTCTTTCCTTGCCAGCAACTGATGCGCACTCAACTGAGCTGGCTGACAACAATAAGAAATTTCGCAAATATCTGCAAAAGTCAAACGAAATGGGGGTTATTTTAGTGTTACGCTTACATTTAATCAATTTGATCCAAAAGTGGCCTTAAGGCTTGTCCCTGATATGAGCTGAATCCCATTCATGCATTGCTTGATCTGTGTACAAAGCACAACATTTTCCGGAACAAAAGCAACAGAATCTACTTAGTGAATCTGGTTCTTCTTACAAATCACACTCACACAGGTATACCTGTGTGTGTGTGCCTAAGCTGGGGTACATACCGTAACAAAATGGAGTTTATGTGTTTTCATTAAAATTACAAGCCAAATTTTTAGAGTGAACCCGAGTAAACACGCACACACATATATCTATGTATTATTTTCTAAGCTTGTACTGTAAAATAAGGAGTTTATATTAGTATATATGTAGTCCTGTGTATATCTGTGAGTCATAAGAATGACTGCAGTTGGCCTTTAGGGTTCACTCCAGTTGCTTTGTTTGCGTATGCATAAAATAACCAAATTTTATTATTAGTCAGTCAAGTCAACAAAAGCGTAAACTGCTCTTAATGGCCATCACTGTCAACTGTTCTGATGTCTAACAAAATATTGTTTAACACACTGGACAGCACTTGAAGCACAGGTAGAAGTTAACAAAAGGTTAAAGTGAAGTGTTGAAGGGGCGAGTTGCAGTCGTTTCAATTATGCAAAGCAAACTTGTCCGACAGCTGTCCGTGCGGCATGCCAGCATCCTGTGTGCTTGTCTCTCTTTACAGCTCAGCGGTTGCATAAAGTATAGCTCAAATAATATTTTCTTAGCAGCTGCCAATTGGCTGATGGCTAAATCTGTTGATTTGAATAATTGTTTGCTTTTCATTTCACGTTGCGCAAACTTTAAACTCGATTTTATTTTAATTTCCATTCTCTATGCAATTTGTGGCTACGAAAACTTTCTGTAAGTGTCAAATAAGTTTTCCATCTAAACTTTTTTATGTGATTCCATTTGCAGGCAACAGCGAGGACAATAAAATGCATTGCGTTCCATAAATTGTGGTTGGCTTAGCCGAAAATTCGCCAAGCTCTTATAAATTGTTAACACTTTAGTCGAGAGAAATAATAACGAGATGGAAGCCGATATAATATACGATCAGCATGTGCATGAAGAGTTGCTGCCTGGCGCCGAGGAGGAGGCGGAGTTTGGTAAGTGTTAAATCCAAGATTTTTCTCGCATTGCTTTTGTTTTCTTGTTTTATTTATTTTTTATTTTTTGAAGAGACTTACTAATGGATAAATGTTGAAGTTTGTCAGCGCTGCTCATTTATCATATTATGACAAGTTTCCTTTTTTTGCTGTTATTCTGCTTTGGTCTTTGGCCTTCGCCCTAAGCTATGAATTGCTCTTTAAACATTACTTACAATTCCCTAAGCTTGCTTCAAACAGAATTAATTCCATTATTAGCGTCTTGATAAGACCTCGTCAATGTCAATCGAAGACTCAAATCTGAAGGACTTCAATAATTAAATTGATGACTGCTGCTGATGAAAGGATAAATCGCAGCTGCTGACATTTGCCTTATATTTTTTGCCTCTTTCTCATTTTCATTTCACGTTTTTCTTTTCAAATTGCCCTAGAACGACTTTACGCGGCCCCCGCGGAAATTGTGGCCCTACTCTCCATCTTCTACGGGGGCATTAGCATTTTAGCCGTGATTGGCAACACGCTGGTTATCTGGGTGGTGGCAACCACTCGACAAATGCGCACCGTAACCAACATGTATATTGCGAATCTGGCGTTTGCGGATGTCATTATTGGACTATTCAGCATACCATTTCAGGTGAGTTTGGTGAATGCAGCTTGCAAATTAATTTTGCCCACAAACGCAAATATTTTTCGTTTATTCTAATTATGCAAATATTGACCGACAATGGCTACCTTTTAGACCAGACGCGTTGGCCAATTAGGTATGGCTGGCAAACATTTTCATTATGGCAATTGCAGTTTTAAACGTTGCGTGGCATTAATTAAACATTGCGTATACGTAATGTATGCCCGTGCGGACATGCTAAATAAATTGAGTTGCGCTGATTTTCAACTGGCTGTTAACACTTTGTGCACATAAATCAGTTTAATGGCATTAGCCCAGTTTCATTTTTGACTGCTGCTGCTGCGACAGCTACTACCGTTGCTGCTACAGCTGCGTTAATATTCCCTTTATGCCCCACACAGCCACAATCATCGATTTCACTATAATCGAACATCAATTTAATTTCCGGCTCTTAAACGCGGCGCTTCAACATTATTGAGATTAGAATTTTGACAGTTTCGCTCGCAAACAGCTGCCAGACCATTACCCCAATAAAAACTTGTATAATGGAATAAACAGTTTTGTATCCAGTCTTAATGGAATTAGCATTTCGTGTCCAGACACAATTTGCTACAAAATCATGAACATAACTCAATTTCCGACCAATTATTTCGCAATTAAATTTATGTTAAGTAATCTGAAGACAAAATTCTGTTGGGCCTTGGGATCAAAGTCAAAATATTTTAATTGTTCTCTGGGAAAGTAGCAAAAAAAAAACGTTGACAGACCACAGAAGAAATTGCATCTCAGAATTCGTCTGTTCATCCAAATGTTTTCAATTAAGTTGACAGACACTTTATCTTGAGGGTTCAAGGACACACAAGTTGCTGTATGTTTTTCTTATGTGGCCAGCTAAATGGCAGCCGCTGTCGGCAAAAATTGTCATAGCAATCTGACAGTCTTATACTATATAGATTTAATTGCTTTGGCCACGCCAAATAGCACGCAGCATCACAAAGCATTGTAATCAGGACATGAATTAGCACAATTTCACTGTTTACTTAGGACATGTTTTACAAGTCGTGTGGATATGCTAGACTAGGCTATTTTTATGAGCACAACTGGCTTAACAATATTAAATATTTTATTCGTTTGGCTTACTACAGTTCCAGGCTGCGCTCCTCCAACGCTGGAATTTGCCGTATTTTATGTGCGGCTTCTGTCCGTTTGTGCAGGCACTCAGCGTCAACGTCTCCGTGTTCACTCTGACTGCAATCGCCATCGATCGCCATCGGGCCATAATTAATCCATTACGGTAAGCCAGCACTGATGACTTAATGACAACTCTGTATTCATTAAAATGTGGTATATACCCCGCGTTTATTGGAAGCATATAAAAGGGTTTAAGCTAAAAGAGTTTGAGAATCAGAATGACAGAAGCATTAAGGAGTAGAGTTTCAATTACAAAATCTGTTTACTTTTGAGAAATTTGTGAGGGCTTGCATAGAATAAACAAATGCCAAGGATTCCCGATTAAAGATTTTTTTAAATGAAATTTAAAACAATTCTAGATACTCGCGTCTTATAATAATTTTTATAATAACAGCACAATTACAAAGAGTTGATAGATAATGAAAAAAAAGCATTTTAAAATTTTAAAAATAATAATTTAAAGATATTAAAAATTAAAGCGAAACATAGAAAAAGCTTAAGAGCAGAACTAATCTAGAGAAACATTTGTCAATAGCAAAAAATACTACCAAGAATCTAGTTTGTTTAGCAGAAATTGAGAAGTCTTTCAGATAGCAGCAACACATAGGGCCATCCCTGAGTCTGGCATGTACTTACTAGAGCACGCTTACTCTTATTGAAATATGTTTGTCATTTCGACAGCGCACGTCCCAGCAAGTTTATATCGAAATTCATAATTGGAGGCATTTGGCTGCTGGCGCTGGTATTCGCTGCGCCATTTCCCATCGCGTTTCGTGTGGAGGAGATAACGGACCGCTTTCGTGGTATGTGCACATGCAACTTCTGAGCCTGCAGCATCTTAATTAAGCCATACATTTTTCTTGTTCAGAGAACGACGTCTACTTCAATTTGACTCGGCCGTTTTGCATGAACAAAAACCTGTCCGACGAGCAGTTGAAGGCATATCGATACGCTCTGGTCTTTGTGCAATATTTGGTGCCATTTTGTGTGATTAGCTTTGTGTACATACAGATGGCAGTTCGACTCTGGGGCACACACGCGCCTGGCAATGCACAGGACTCGCGAGACATAACGCTGCTCAAAAACAAGAAGAAGGTCAGTTAGAGGAGACTAATTGAATCGACTTTTGAATACAGTTTGCGATTCTTTAATTGCAGGTCATTAAAATGCTGATTATCGTTGTCGTCATCTTCGGCTTGTGCTGGCTGCCTCTGCAGCTCTACAATATACTATATGTAACAATACCGGAAATCAACGACTACCACTTCATTAGCATCGTGTGGTTCTGCTGCGACTGGCTGGCCATGAGCAACAGCTGCTATAATCCCTTTATTTACGGCATCTACAATGTGAGTACTAAATGCTTTTATCTAGCATAACTATTGACTGTTTGTCTCGGTGATTGCCAGTAAGCCTCAATCAATATAGTGCAGTGAATACCATTTATGAAGTACTTCCATTTCCATGACAATATCTGCTTAAATAACTATTCTTGCTTACAAAATCAGAAAACAATGAACGTCTTCTCCCACTATTATAATTAGCTCAATATTTGCTTTGGCATTTATAAGTTTCACCCACGCAATTTAATTAATGAAACGTTTCACTGTTGCCAGGAGCAATAAAAAAAGTCCCAAAAAACACGTACGAATATCCTGGCAGATACACAAATGTAGAAAATCTCCGAGACATAAGCAAATATTTCACTTATTTAGTGAAGTGGGCAGGCGACATGACTGAAAATCGATAGGAAGATAGGCAGGAATGCGACCAAAAATGTTTTTGTTATTCGTCTCTTTCTTGTTCACGTGTGGACCGTCAATACTTTGAGGCAAAACTTTACAGACAAAGGCCTAAGCAGAAAGTGTCAAGGCGCTGAGGAGGAAATTGCAAATTAGGCATTGGGGCAGAGGTTACAAAATTGCTTCATAAAAGACAGCTGACACCACAGACAATAAAATCTGAGCGAAATAATAATAATTTTATGATTGAAGCATGTTTTGTTACACAAATTTGAGTATAGTTATAAACGGTCAAACGGCAGGTAAAATACTTTCACAGATTTTCACAGAATTTTGCTTACTTAAAAATTATATTAGTAATTTATTATGGAATATAATTTGCAATCAGAGATAACAGTTAAATTGTTATTTTTCTTTATTTGAATTTTAAAGTCTTAAATTTTAATATTAAATCAACATATTATCAGAATTTAAGATTTAATAGCAAAAACTCATGAATTATATATTTTCTTAATTGAATTAAAGAAATATTTTTTTTAGATTTAAAATGATTTAAATTCTTAATACTATTTGATTAAAAATCAAATAAATTGGCTATGTTACCAATACAAAGTTTTTGGGTTTTTTCCTGTACTAAAAAATGTATTTCCTTTCATCCCCTTTTGTTGTAGGAAAAATTCAAGCGGGAATTTAACAAACGTTTTGCGGCATGCTTTTGTAAATTTAAGACCAGCCTGGAACCGCATGAGCGCACCTTTTCGATGCACACGCGTGCCAGCTCCATACGCTCCACCTATGCCAATTCGTCGATGCGCATACGCAGCAATTTCTTTGGCGCACGGAATGCTGGCGGCAATGGCAAGAGCGGCCTGAATTTGGGGCGAAGTGCTTATCAGGCCAATTTCAATGGCAACGGACACGGCAGCAGCAGCACCAGCTACAACAACAATGGCCATCAAACTGTGGTGACTTTTGCGGGCAGTGAAACGACGATGCCCCCATGGCGACGCAATCACTTCAAACCGCTGCATCCGAATGTTGTTGAGTGTGAGGACGATTTGGCGCTGATGGAGCTGCCATCAACCAGCGAGGAGTTGCCGTCCAGCATTGGCGGCGCAGCGGATGGAGCGGGCGTGCAGCTGGCACTATTTAAAGCCGCATCCCGAGAAAGTTTTAGTTGCATTTGCGAGCAGGAATTCGGTAGCCGGACAGAATGCGACGGAACCTGCATACTCAGTGAAGTATCAAGAGTACAGCAGCCAGTAGTGGACGTGGTTGCTGTGAGTGGGGCCGGCACTGGCTCCCAGCCCGTAAGCGAATCCTTGTGGCAACCGCTCTAAATACGCAGCAAATGCGATGAATTTCTCTGTGATTTCGAAATAATGAATTGTGATTGCAAACATAATGTTGTTGATTGGGAATTCTGAACGATGTGCATACATATGTGGAGTGGTGGATGTGTGTGTGCGTACTTTCCTTAGCTGCAAGCCATGTACAGTATTATTATGTAAGACTTAAGTCAAAGTGTTGGCCATGGAGCACAGAAGAAGCACCGTCACAAATATTCATAAATATATAAATATATATATATATAAATACTTTTATCTGAATAAAAAAGTGTTGAATGCTTTTTCAAATAACTGTTATTTCGACACGCTTGCTATTTGCAATTCATTTGTTATTTTTTTCCATCTAACTATTTGTAAACGCATTAAGCAATTTACTCCAATTAATAGTCTCATGAAATCAATTAACTAGCGTTAAACGATAAATTATTAAATTAGTTTTTAAATAATAGCTATACAAATATTTCTATGTATTTCTGTAATATGGATGTGTACGTATTATGGCATGAAAAGGCTAATTAATCTAATTATTGTATTGAATTATCAATAAAAATAAAACACAAAACATTTCAAGTCATTAAACAAACATTCCTTTCTATTCAGTTAATTACCGCACAATTATTGAAATCCCATCAGTAAAATAAAATTATATAAATGAAATTAATTCATTGAACCACAAATTTCCACGCGATTTGCTTTTCATATTTGTTACCAGTAAATTTGTGAATTGAACTTATAAATTTATGGCAAGTGCTAAAGCTTTGTGCTGTAAGAAATGGAAATGTACTCTAAGTTATTTGCCTCAAGCTAAAAGCTTTGTGGTTAAGCTAAGACGCAAGCTTTTCATAAGCATAGCACATACGCAAACCGGAGGTGGGAAAGAGCGGAAAAGCTTAAGACGGCATTGGCAAAGCTTTGCGCGCAAAGTAAACTGAAAAGTTTCGACTTTCACAGGGTGATCCAATTTAGACTTAAGCAATAATTAAGTTACACGGATCAGCAGAGGTAGTCATGCCTTAATGATTATTATCATTAATGACATGTTTGTAATTAATTTAATAAATTATCATTATTTTAATAAATATTACCATAATTTGTATATATGGTCATATTTCTGGAGATCATTATACTAGTAGCAATAGTTAGCATAATCATTAACATATCATTAACTTATTAACATTAACAAATATTAAAATAAATATTAGAATATTTCGTATGAAAAGAATTACTAACATTTGCAAGAACTATTTTTTAATGTAATAAGAATATTATTTTTCTTTAACATATTCTTAACTGTTTAAATATTTTCTTTACACACAGAAGAAGAAGAGCTGAGCTGCACTGCACGACTGATCACCACGAAATTATTTCTGAGACTGGGTCTGCGCGGAAGCAGGCTTGCCTTTATATAGGGCGTCGCTCCCACTCAAACTCGAGCTCAACCCTTTCTTGCTCCAGCCTCTCTCTTTGAGCTCGGCTTTGCAAGCGATCATTTAGTGACTTTATATAGAGCGTCGATTCCACTCAAACCCGAGCTCAACCCTTTCGAACTCCGGCCTCTCTCTTTGAGTTCGGTTTTGCATGCGATCATTTAGTGCCATTATATAGAGCGTGGCTCCCACTCAAACTCGAGCCTAACTCATTCGGACTCAATCATCTATCTGAGCACTTTCTCCTGTTTCAAGTAACGGATGGCCAAACAAACAACACATTTTAACTAATATTCTTCCTCTGCTTCGTAAGGGGTATAAAATGACTTTCTTTTTGTAAGAAATATTTCTATTTAAAAATTAAATTCAGACTAGGAAATTCACATAGAAAGGTCGCGTGTGTTATGATTAAACTACCCTAATCGCCTGGCAAACAGAGCGGGATATTCTGGTTGACAAACACTAACAAACTATGACAGCAGCAGCAAAAACAACAACAACAACAACGACAACAGTGGCACGCAATAGTTGGCATATGTGGTTCTAGTTCGTTTCTTTTTATGCCACATGCAACCGAAACAACATATGGTGCACTCTAAGGCGCGCACACACACATAGGGAGAGTGTTAGATATACACTGCACAACACGCAATGAACTGACTGACTGGACATGGACATGTATGTACATGAATGTTCCGGCCGTGGCAGCATTTAAGCTTACACTCTCGCTCTCAGGCGCACAAACACGCATGCAACGCTTGTTGTCTCATAGATGGACACTTGACTGCAGGAGCGCAGTGCGCAGTGTCCTGGTACCAGGAAGAAGGCCGCATTGGCTGTTGATAATTGAATAATTAACAATGTTGAAAATGGCTGAAGGGGCGTCTAACGAGGGCGGGGTAGAGGGGTTGCCAGTAAGTAGGGGTAAGTTACTTTAACTGTCGCTGCTAATGTGTGTGTGTGTCTGTGTGTGTGTGTGTGCAGGTGCAGGTCAGCAGGTCAACTGCAACCGCAATGTCAGCCAGAGACCTCAACAGCATTAAGTTGAATAACTCATACACACGCACAGACACTCATATACCAACAGTTATAAAAGTCTATATAAAATATAATTGGGTTTAGTAAATAATTGACATTCGATGGGAAAATCTTTGAGGCGCAGGGTCTGCCAGTTATTGATTGACATCAGCGTATATATATCATATTTTGAACAATTAGAAAACGAAAGTGAACTTTTCAAAGTGTTTTTAGTCTTCAAGCCGAGTGGTTCACTTTTGTTTCGAGTTCAACCCAAAGATGCGTGAATCAAGTGCGAATAAAGGTGAGTATGCGGCGCCAGATACCGGGAGGAGTGCTAAGCAAACTAATTGCATCAAATGAATCACACATATGAAGAGTCTTTGCTCTTAACAATTGCAGCGCCCCGAAAGGCTTTCTCATCGACCAGCTCCTCGCGTCGCAGCAGTGGCAGCAATACCGAATTCTGTGAGGCATCCACAACAATGGGCACTGGCACTGGCACCGGCGTCGGCACCGGCAGCGGCACTGCTAGTGGCACAGCAAACATCGATGTGGATGCTGTTGCTGCCGGAGGCATTGATGGGCTGGTCACGCCCACAGCAACACCAGTTACCGATTTCTATAGAGATGCAACGGTGCTCATTACGGGCGGCACGGGCTTTGTGGGCAAAGTGCTAACCGAGAAATTGTTGCGCGCCTTTGGTTTGCGTAAAATTTACATGCTGATACGCAGCAAGGACAACATGAGCGTGCAGGAGCGCTTGCAGGGCTTCTTCAATGAGTCGGTAAGTCAATAGCAAAACTGGGGGAAATGAGCTGCCGCATTGCCGTCGCTGCGCTCCCACCCCCACTTTTGGCATCGTCGAACAATGCAAACTCAATAAAGCTGCTGCTGCTGCTGCTGCTACAACTGCTGCCGCTCGATGCTATTGCAGATATTCAATATTATGCGCGCTGAGCGGCCGGAGCTGCTGGAGAAGGTGCATCCGATACGCGCTGATTACAGTGCCATCGACCTGGACATTGATGCCGCCGACCGTGCAATGCTCTCGTCTGAGGTCCAAGTGAGTATTGCCATTGCCATTCCGATTGCAGGTTGGAGAGCTTTGTTGCCTGTTTCTGTTGGCAATTCAATCAATAGACTTTTGTGTGAAAACTTTTGTGAGTGTGTGCGTGTGTGTGTGTGTGAGAGAGAGTTTGTGTGTTTGCCTATCTGTTTGGATATCTGTCCTGCTGTCCAACTGTCTGTTTGACTATCTATCTGTCAGTCCGTCTATCCGTCCATCCGTCCGTCCGTCCGTCTATCTGTCTGTTTGTGCATTACGTTACGTTGCACTGCCTGCCAAAGGCAGGCGCCATGTTTACGACAAAAGCATGCAGTCAGTTTATTTCCTTTTTATGATTTTTCTCCGCACAACAAACACACTCAGTGAAGACAAGGCACAAAAATATATATATAGATATATATTTTTTCTACTTTTGAACAAAAATTGAAACTCGGCACGTCGTAGTATGAAAATGTGTGTGCCTGCTGGTTTTGCTAGTCCTGCGGCTCCTGCTGCCGGTTATAAAAAACAATATATAAATAAATGAAAATTCCAGTGCATGCTTCAAGTGTTTGGCGTGCGCGAGCCATTGTCCTGCCAGTCGCATCCGTTCGGCGTTTCTATTTATTTTATTTTCCTTTCGGACTATTTGGTTTATTTTTTTTTGGGTTTTGTTGTTTGCAAAACATTTTGCATACAAGTCACTCACACTCGTATGCGGCTCAGTCGGCAGGATTCGCAGCGTTTAGTCCTGGCACTGTTTTAAAACTAAAATTGCTTTGTTGTCGATGTTCAATGCAGCAGTTGCATGTGTAGCCATGTCCCGTGTCCCGTGTCCCGTGTCCCATGTCCTGTGTCCGTGCTGACTTTGAGGTTATCAGCGAATGCAGCCAACAGTCTGAGCCCAAAAAACCAACTGCATCCCGCAAAGCGCTTCTGTTTTGCATGCATCTCTCGTGCATATTGCATGCGCTCCCTGTAGTTCAGTTGTTCAGCTGTTCAGCTGTTCAGCTGTTCAGTGCTGGCATTTCTCAATTTTAATATGCATTACTTGTTTTTTTTTTTCACTTCTTGCTGCTTAGATTGTCTTCAATGTTGTCGCCTCAGTGAAATTCAATGAGAAACTAAGCGATGCTATTGACATTAATGTTCTGGGCACCAAGAAGATACTCGATTTGGCTATGCAAATGAAGCAGCTGAAGGTAAGTAAGTGTCCAAGCTCGAACTTAGACATGTTGGACTAGAGAAGAGCACGTTGAGGATGCTTTACGATATGCCGACAAGTCAAGTCTTAGCTATGACTTAACATGTGAGATATATGTGTATAATATATAGCTAATAGAGTTTATATAGTTGCTTTCATTCCAAGTAAAAGAAGAACTCATAAAGTGCATTAAAGCTTTAATTTAGCAAGCTTGCTAAGACTCTTGGTTGACTCAATTGGTATAGCTTGAGTAACAAATCAGTTCTTTCCCACAAGAACTTAATCAATAACCTGTGGCAGCTATGTAAATTACTTATGAGCTATAGCAGTTCCTTCCATAACGGAACGTCTCCATGCCTTGTCCTTACAGAGTTTCATGACTCGAGCTTTCAAGAGCTGTAGACATCATTTGCACCTATGCTTTAAGTGCGCAGGCCTTAAAGACTGCAATTAATATGAATAAACTCGTGTATGAATTGGAACGTGTTCCTTTTAAAATCTAT